CAAAACTTTCAAAGAAACCTGAAAAGATCTTGCTAGTAAAGATAAAAGTAAGATGAACCCCTCAGGTTAACTTGAAGAGATCAAGACAAGGAAAACCCCTTCCAATTTTCATTACATGCCAGACTATGAAACTCAATTCTTTACCTAAAGGGAGGCTCTGAACCATAATTTATAGAAGACTCTGGATTTCTTAAAAATAATAACAATAATAATAATAATAATAATATGCCTTTGTACTCTCATCAACTATAAAGTAGCACCTGTATTTCACATTCCTTTTTTCTTTCTGTTAACTGTACTTCCTAGAATATTCTGGAGGAGGTCAAGGGTACGTTGGAATATTGGTATCAACACTGCACACAGCTTTTAGATTTGATTTAGTTCTCAAATCAACAATTTCTTTGTTCTTCCACAATGTTTTGAATAAAGAAATAATTCTTGAAAGTTGAATTCTGCTTTACAGCAATGCTTTTCAGTAACTTTCACATTTTCCTCCAAAAATCTTAATCCACCAGCTTTAGTGACTGGTGAGTTAAAGTAGACTTTCTATACCTTCATTAGTTGATTTAACAGAAGGGATGCCTTAGCTTTCTTACAGTTTGTTACATGAAGTTCTCCTCTCTGAGCACTTTGGTTGAAAGATTTCCTAGTTACATTTTGCATTACGTTTCCACTTCAGCTTTCAAATTGAACAGTGACAGTTTTCTCACAAGTTCTGCAATAAGTCTGGGCTATACTTCCACATGGCATTCCCAAGAGAGAACAGTCTTTCATAAAACTAAAAATAATTTTACAAAAAGCAGCCATGAACAAGTTTCTTTACTAGTAACTTGCAAACCTCAATATTAATTGCAGCTTTTAGGAACTTGTGAAACATCCAGTCACATTTTCATACCTTGGTACTTGGTAAGCCTCTGAAAAAACCCAGAAATGGTGCCCACCCTCCCCTGAAGCCAGTAAACCATGTATAGTCCCAACAAGAAAGGAAGTGATTTATTCGTAATCTCTGCTAAACTGGCACCCCCGCATTCAAAATGCCTGCAGCTGTCATGGTGGCTTCTCTTTCCTACACATCAGGAAACAAGCTTATTTTTGCATTGATCTGTAAGTACTCTGCAAGCACATCACAGCTTTAAGTGGAATAAGATCTGGGACATTTTGGCAAAAATCCTAACAGTGAATTATAGCCAGTGAAGTCAACTCAGCCTGGCAAGAACCACAGATAAAGGAAACAGAAGTCAATACCAAATACACAAAGCTCACTGCTGATGGTTCTGAAGAACACTTCTGCACCTCTGTCAGAAGTGACTAAGCACAGCCAATCCTACCTTCAAGGCAAATGGCTGATCTCAAAAAGTCTCTCACAGCATGTTGTGGTGATTTTCTGTTGTGTTTTTTAATCTGACCCGGAAGAAGTCAGCAGGACTACCACATCTTTGCAAGACCAGGGCCTTGAGAATTACAGCTGCACTTACTGAGAAGTAATGCAATTTAATTAATACTTGGGTACTTGTCTGCACTAAAATGCAACATTATTATTTTTATAATATACATATTAGACAGCTTCTTACTTGTTAGACGCCGAAGCATGTCCTAGCATTCACTGGTTTATTACCCTTAGCCTGCCAAAATTCTTGAGGTTCTCCTAATTACTCTATCTTCTTTTAAGAAACTACTATCATGAATTTCAGACTTTTGTCTCCTGTTTCTCTTAAAAGTACATTTATACCGACATGTATTTTCCCTGCCTCTTAAACTATAGCTACAAAAACATTACACTGTCTTAAGTGTAGGTTTAAAGCCAGAGAGGCTACTTAACATAGGCTGGGAAAAAAAAATAAAAAAAGGAACATATCCTGTTCCCATCAACAGGAGGCTTACGCTTTTGAAGTAGGATCAAGTTTCCAGGGAAAAGACTTGGTGAAAGCTGACAGAAACAAAATTGTTGTGGCCGGGTTTAGACAGAACAACCGCAACGCTGCGGCTTGAGTCTGGAGCGCCTCCTGCTGTTCCAGGGACAGAACAGCAGCGACGGTCGGGAACGCCGAGGAAAGAAGTGACAAAAACCAACCCGATGCGACAGCAAACAGCATCAAAACTCTACAGTCCAAACGCATGAGGGCATTCTGCATCCTTCAGAAGTAAACATCTACCTTTTAGAACTAGTTATTAGAAATCTGGTGAAGGATTTGTTTCTTTAATACTGCTACAGTAAAGACTAAATGTATATTTACTAGACAAAATATATACATAAATTTAAAATACACAACATGCTGCAAATATAAAATAGACACATTAAAAACATGTCACGAGTTTTAGAGTCATGTGAGATGTAGCTGGTCAAAATCTGGAGGACTAAAGAGGAATGGCTGAATAGGCCAACATTTTCCAGCAGACACACGGTCCCATCGAATATTTCTTGCACCCCCTAGTGCTGAGTTACTTAACTAAGAACTGAATCCCCATAGTCTCTTTCTTTATACCTACATTTGTAGAGATAATCTGCATCTCCTGTACCTGACGATACCTAGAAGATGATGAGTCTGTACTTCAGCTGGAGCCACAGTGACATCAGTAGTCCAAAGGGAATACTCAAAAGCATACATTTGCTTCCTCATCAACAAAAATGTTTTACTAAGCAGAAGAAGAGAATTTCCTAATACAAAAACCTGCCATGCAAACTACTACTGAGTCCCAAAACATGAGAGACAAATACATAAGCCATGCTATGTGCACTGTACTACTACAAATACAACCATGGCATTTCTGTTAAAGACCTAAAGCTAAAAGTAAATTTCTTCCAAAAGAAAGAAACCCTTGGAGAACAAAATAAAAAAATCTAACAGACAAAATAAAAAATCTAACAGACTAAATAAAGAACAGGAGAAATGCATGACAGTTAAGTGCATCTTGTTTTAAAATATATTTTGTGATTCCAAGATGAAAATGTGCAAAATATAATAGAACATAAGTAAAAATAAATTATTTATTGAGCTTATAAATAAAACAAAGAAAAACAATTTTTTTAAAAGCATTCCATAATTTTCCTATGGAAAAAACCAACCAACCAACCAACCAACCAAGGAAAATAACATCACTTTTCCTTAGATGAATAATTTAATACTATGAGATAACTGGCTCAGTTAAAAAAGGAGTAACAACAAATAGCCAAAAGTCAAACTCCAGCCAAGCATCAAGGTTTGTGTGACAGATACAGTTCTCATCTTCCAGTTACAAAAGTGCTGAACTGAACATACCATAGTATCCACAGGGCATTCAGGAAGGGATGTGGTCAAACAAGGAAAGTACAAACAGAAGATAAAGAATAGGAGATTCCCATTTGGGCAACAGGGCATTTAGGGCAGAGACATGACAAGGTATATTCCCATCCTGCCTAGTTTCACTCATAGAGCACAGTCTTTGAGACTGTGCAGGGGAGTAGTGAGTTTTACTTTTCAGAGCTGATTACCCAGCGTCCAGTATCCTGTTAACCACCCACAATATGAGCAGAATAAATGTAAGGCCTTGTTCAGGCAGTTAGATCAAACACTTTTTCCAAAGACAGGCAACTATCCAGAAAACAAACCCATGAAAGATCTACACTCTTGTGTTAAAGCAAAGTAGCTTTGCACACAATGGAAAGGAAAACTACTTTTTTCCCTCCCCCTGTCTTGCAGACGCTTGCATATCGGCCAGAAACAAATAGTCCTACCCAAAATGGAGGGAGAAAAACATTGGGCCCCAATCCTGGATTATAATCAGGGAGGCCCTACACAGATTCAGGAGACTCTTCACACTGACCCAACTTTCAGACTTGGTGCCTGAATACAAAAAAATAGCAAAGATATACTGCCAACGTCTAGGTCTGTTTTACCTGCAGCTCTCCCTTCACAAAGACACCATGCAATTCTTAAAGTAACTTAATTGGGTCTCTTACAAAGCCCTCCAAGGAAAGGAAATATTTTTCTTTCTAATGCCAAAAAGAGCAGAATAATCTACTTGTGATCATCAGCAACTCTACCATGAGATGGTTAGCTTCATGAGGAGATCTAAGAAGGACAGTAAGACCAGTAAGATTAAGGACAATCAGCACCAGAAGACTCTTCCAGGACAAGTAAAAAACACAGTGCCTTCTACACCTAATGCTCTAACCCTTATGGTACACGCCAATTCTGAAAACAACGAGGCCAGCTTCTAGCAATCCTTTCATGCTGTCTATACTACCACAGCTTTCTGATCCAGAGTAAACTACTATTTTAATCAGATACAACCAGTCTATGTTTGTTTAAAAACCAAAAAACTGTAAATCTGCAGTGAAGGAAGAATTTTTTTCTAAACCCCCTTGTGAGAGCATCACATCTTTCAATTATCTTTTCCAACAGAAACCTCAAAGGTCACTGCTGCTGATCTAATAAAGGCAACATGCAGGGCTTATATCTTTCAGGGCTGACATCTCATTATGTGCAAAGGCCCTGTGCACTATTTAAGTCTGTGTAAAGGATTTATTTCCCAGTCTTTGCAAGAGAGATAAGAATGAATTCTATCCATAAACAGTAAAGATTTACGGAAGAAGTTCCTATTTCAAGTCTGCAAAAGAGGATGAAGTTGCACATTCAGTAAGAAGCACAATGAAGATAAAATATGAAGCTGAATTGTATTCAGGGTTCAAAATTTATTTTTAAACATTAGTACAGCCCAGCTAAAAACTAAAAGCAAAACAAGAATAAGGATTTTCTATCAGTTCTAGAACTGCTTCGTCCTCTTTTATCTTCAGAGGGCCAATATTTCCTTGCAAAACAACACAGGAGCCAAAAACTTGCACAGGCATTTGAGCAGTAACTAAAAAATATTACAAACAACTCTCCCATCAGATAAAATATTTATTTTTTCATCTTGAGGTACATCTTCAAAGAAAGAAAGCCTGTTTATGTTGAGGACTTTCTTTGTCTTTATTGCAAAGACACTCATTTACATTACAATCAGGAACATAAGGAGCTTACCTCTCAGCACGAAGGACTCCACTGTAATAGGGGTGATCCCATGGCATCAGCATCTGAAAGAGAATTCCAGCTTATAATTACAATAACAGACAACAAGTGAACCCAGAGTAAAAGTTTTGTTTCACTTGAGTATTTTTGCAGTTTCAGTAAGTCACAGAATTTTGAAAAGTAATCTGAAACAATAAGGGCTCAAACCAAAAACAGCATCATATATCATAATCTGAAAACTTTTATAACACTTCTTGAAGACTGGTCTTCTTATTCAACTATATGATAGGATTTCATACCAGATTTCAAGAAATACACTCAGTTCAAATAAAAAGATAAATCTAGATATGTACAGCATTAAGATACACTCAATGTAGTACACAAACTGGGCTTGAATCTAACCTAAAGTAGAACCTTTATCAAATGAGTCAATTAATTCAAAGCAAAGTGATAGTCCCTTTCACAGCTTTATGTTTTGGTTATCTCAGTATCACTTTGTATAAACCAACAGCAAATACTCAGTATTTAGTTTTAATACAGCAACTAAGTGGTCAGAAAGCATTTGAAGCCAGTAGAGAGAATGTTTCTAATTCTACTTCATCTTATACACTGAAGTAGAAGTAATTGTAGAACATGATTACCTTGTACATATTTTTTAAATGTAACTTACTGAATTGTGGGGATTGAGCTTCATTTTCATCTTTGTCATCATTTCAAAGTCTTTTTGAGTTCTGAAAAATATTTTTATGATGAAAACATTAATGAAAGATCTTTGAGCAGTGAAATACAGTACATGATAATATTGCATCCTAATAAAATGTCCATCATCAGAGATTTATAGTACTATATAAAATGACGAAATAAAATCGTTGGTCCACATACAACAGTAGAAAAATATTTTCATTCTGCTTCTGCCATTCAGGTACTTTCAAATTCAGTCCCTCTTCCAGTGGTTGTACAGCTCAAAAGCATTTTCATTCTTACAATACACCCCATTTATACCCAGTGATGAAATTGTTTTGTGCTGTGTGGAGCTCAGGGTGGCAAGAGGGACAAAGACGGAAATTTGTTTATAGGTGCAAAACATATGGAGTTGTGCATATGGTAAGACCAGGAGAGGTGTTCCACGCTTCAACTTGGTCTTCCTGTTTGCTGTTAACTGCACTTCTTGCATTCAGTCCTCAGTGTTCTCTGATCACAGACACAGAAAGTATTCTAAGCACACAGATTTTTCTTCCTCTCAAAATTCTGGGGAAGTCTTGGTTTTTATTTAATCAAAGCACATAATAAGCAGCACTGACTAGCTTATTATTGCACAAGTTCCTCTATTCTTGAAATAAAGAGTATGGTTTAAAAAAAATGTAGTAAAAAAGGCATACCTTTTAGACAACTGCTCAGAAAGCTTCTCCAGAAATTGTCTTACTGTTTCTAGAAGGAAAGAAAAAATATTAAAATTATTCTTCCCTTCCCAAAGGATGTTAAATTTACATTAGATGGATGTTAAATTTAAAGGATGTTAAATTTAAAGGAGTGAGCATCAATTCTGAACCAAAACACCAGATCCTCCTCAGTGAGTACTGTTATTTACAGTGACCACTGAGTATGGCATACACCAAAATGTAACTGCAATACAACACTTCACTGGAAGAATTATGTGCAAACTTAGCTAAAGAAACGAACTACCTTTCATCTCATATGTTACACGTTTGACTTCTCAACATGTCCTTCCATACATGCCTTACTACCTGGATTTTTGGCCATTGTTCCCTGAAGAGCCCTGTGGGCAAAGGTGTCATAGCCAACCAGCTGTGCCAGGCTGTTCCTGCTCACAAGCAGCTCCTCCAATCGAGCCAGCTGCTGAGAGTTTGAGTGCAGAAAAATCTTGTAAGCAGCTTCCCGCACCTAATACAAGGAAAAAAAAAAAGTCACATTGCTACAGAGTGATTCCTAACAGAAACAAGTGATGCAACTGAAGATTGGCATAACAGCTGTATTCCACTGATATTGGTGGGAAAAGGCCTGAAGTCTTTTAACAATACTAATTACAATTGCCTGACAATTACAGCTCTTACCCATTAAAAGTGGAATGAGGAAATGCAGTGAGACAACCTAACACATCAAGAATGCCAAAAAGGGTCCCGTTCTCTACTCCTGTCAACAGTCTCTCATCACCTCTCTCTTTCTGCCAACATCTGTGCTTTTCAGACCACTCTGTGGGCTGCTTTAACTCATTAAAACTTTTGAAAATAAACCCAAGCTGTTCTCTGCATATCAGTTAAGTTTGCTAATGGTAGAATCTGACAAGAAAAAGAGACAGGGTCAGGGGAGAGAAAAGAGAGGAAGAGAAAAGCCTTATTTCTTTTGTAGTAGGAAACTATTAGTCTGCCCATCTGCCCACAAACTTTTTCCTTTTCTCATATTTTTAGTTAGAGTCTTTAGTTTGGGTCTTTTCATAAATGAAAAAAAACTACCTGAAGACTCAAAATTTAATAAAATGCTTTTATGTTTCACAAACCAATCACCAATAATTTTATTTCTACATTTGGAATAAGCTCAAGAAATCCAGCAACAACTTATATTTGCCTTCATCTGAACTAAGCCGCTCTCTACATAGCATAAGTGAAGAAAGAACCCTGAAATGTTTCAATATGCTCCTGATCCTAGAAATGTAACTAAAAGTCTAGGGTGCCACTGCCATATTTCAATGAGTCTAAATTAATTTTAAATTTGTAACTCTAAATTAATTCTTTTTCAGAAAAACAACATTAACAAAAACTAAAATAAGGTTTTTTTCAGTATAATTGAGGTTGGATGGGACTTCATGAGGTCTCTAATCCAACCTCCTGCACAAAGCAGAGACAGCTATGAGCTAAGACCAAGTCACCCAAAGCTTTTTCCAGTCTAGTCCTGAAACCCTGCACATATGGGAGAGACAGGATGATCTCACTATTTCACTACTTGGTTATCATCAGCAGGAAAAACTTCTCCAACTGGCATTTCTCAACTTTTGCCTTCTGACGCTTGTTCTCCTGTCATGCACCATGCTGAAGAGCCTGGCTCTATTTTCTCCATGACCTCCTTGTAGGTAGGAGAGGGTGCTGGCAGGGTCCCCCCAAACCACCCCTGCAACAGGGGGAACAAGCCCAAATCCCTCTGCCCTTCCTCACAGTGGAAGCACTCCAGTTACTGTCCATCTTGGTGGCCTCTGCTGAAGACACTCCTGAAGAGTGGGGCCACAATCTCACTGCTCAGTGTCCAAGGGAAGCCCAGATGCTGTTGGCTTTCTGCTGCCAGGGTCACTGCTGGCTCATGCTCAGCTTGCTGCTCACCAGCACTGTGGGCCTTTGCCACACATCACACCCAGCCAGGTAGTCCCAGCCTGACCTATAACCAGGAGTTCTCCATTTCCAGGTGTATGATTTTGCTCTTGTCCTTTTTGAATTATGTAAGACTGCCACTGAACCATTATCTCAGCTTTTAGGCCACTCTGAATGTCAGCCTTCAACATCAAGTGTATTGATTATTCCTCCCTATTTGCTCTCCCCTGCACATCTGGTAGGCAAGCTTTTTGTCACTTCCTCTATGTCACTGATAAAGCTGTTAAACAGGGGACCCAGGATAAACTACTGCAAGAATTCTTCCATTACCAGTCCTCCTGTAGGGTGCATTTCAACCACCACTCTCTGATCATGAAATTTGTTTTTTTACCTATCTGGTTGTCCACCAATCCAGACTGTAATCTCCTGCCTTGGACTAAAGTCACTGATGAACACTGAGGCAAAAGCAAGTGATGAGCATCTCAGCCTTATCTGTCTGCTGCCACTGTCACCCACCTTACACAACACCAAGCCTACGTTTTCCTTGCTCAGGCTTTTAGTACCAATGCAACAGTAACTGCTCTCATTGCTTTTGATGTCCCTTCCAAGTCACAACTGCAGTTGAGCCTTGACTTTCCCAACATCATACCTACACATACAGGCAATGTTTCCACATTCCTCCTCTGGATCTTGTACCTTCCACTCCATGTATGATATCTTTTGGAGATGAAGCTTTGTTAAGAGTTGTTTGCTTGTCAAGCCTGGTTCCTCACACATTTGCTTGGGCTTTCTAAGGATCAGGATGCACTGAGTATCTCAATCCTCTCACACACTGGGAGGATGCTGCCATTAGAGAACTGCCTGCTTTCTTGAGCTCCTTTGCCCTTCAGAATTGCAATTCATGGCATACCACCTCTGAATAAACTGAAGTGTGCTTGCCTAAAATCCAGTCTGTATTCTGCCCCCCTTCTTCCTACAGCCATTCAGGATCTGCACAGCCATTATTTCATACCTGCTACTATCAAGTATGCCATTGATCATTACATTCTAACAAGTTTTTCCTTGTTAGCAATTACAGCATAATCACAAACCACATAGATTTGACCCACTAACAAGTCAAATAACTGATATGCACTTCTGGTATAAAGGATGCCAAAGTAAAGTCAGGGAATACAAACCAGATCATCAGGACAATCAGCATGCAGACCAGCAATTCGTAGGTAATTGCCTTCAGCTGTAAAATTATACCGAATGTGCTCTGGCAACACGTGTTTGTCAATCTTGTTGGGAATGTGAGTTCCTATCAGAAATTCATTACATAAATCCAATATTCTGACATTGAGCTCGACTGCCTTTTTACGCTGTAAGAAAAATAAAGTACAAAACAGTATCTTCAGACAGAGTACAAGCAGAACTCAGTTTTTAAACCTTAAAGGACTCTTTCAAAAATTAAGCAGAAAGTACAACACTTAAGATTATACCTACAGAATCAATAAAGTCATAATGCAGGGCAAGTCAACAAGACCAGATGCTCATAAAGCATTGAAATTCCAAAGAAAAGGCCCACGTTTCTGCAGCACGAAAATATACAGTGGAGTTCAAGTAGAAATTACACAAGCTTTGCTAACTTGTAACTGATTGCTATGTAAAACATTGAATAAAAAAAGAAGCATTTTTAAGAGAGATACCCTAAAACAGATATAGAATAAAATTCTCTTTTTCCTGTTTGTATTGTGCTGTTTTCTGGAAACTGTAAACTATTTACAGTATTTCAATTCTTCTTTTAGGAGTTTGTGATTTAGAGTTTTATCATCATCACAATACTTCATACACTTAATCATGCAAGATGTGCTTCAGTGAACTTGCTCACATTAGTACACTGTGGTCTCTATTCTCTGTGGGTTCATAGCTCAAGAAAACAAAGGCTGAGGGTACAGACACAACATATCTTGTAAAATCCAAAGAATGACATAACATGATCCCTGTCCTCCCATTCCCACCCTTTCTCTTGAAAATATATCTATGAGTTTTATTTTAAAAAGCAGGAAGTCTTTGTAGCAGAAGTAAACCTCAGCTTAAAACAGGGAAGGATTACTAAAATCTTAAATGAGAAATGAAAAGAAATACTGAGCAGCAAGCAAGAAAAGTGGGATAGGCAGGGGAGGAAGAGGAAAACATGCAAAAATAAGTGAAATTGTAACTGAAAGGAGATGAAGCATCATAGAACCAATAGCCAAATCAGACAAACTCCAGAGCTGAAGTTTCAGGGCTGTTCTTTGGACAATGTAATTGTAAAAATATATTCTAGAACCATTTTCTAGGTCACAAAACACCATTAAAACCATTATCTTCAGAATAACTCTTAAGCATCAGTCTGGTAGAAGAGCTTTTCCATGGATCTTTCTGGAGGGCATAACTCAAATAAACAAGGAATTAACTTCATACAGTGACATGAACTCTGAACAGACAGATCATCCATACTACAAAGCATGGTGTAAGCTGCTGGGTTTGAAAAATCCATCACTAACTACTGTAAAAGTATATAAAAGCTCCAAGACAGCCCAAGGTAATCAGACCATGCCCAGATACTCAATTTTGAACAAGATTTACAACTTTTGGTTATGTGAGCTCCCCAGGAGTGCCTGGACACACACCTGAACCCTTCTAACACACTCCACTTGATTAACCTCAAGGTCATCAAGGTGCATGGAGTGCTGCTTTTCCATCTCTGTAAATATCTGGTTCTGACAGCTGAGTAGCTATTTTAAATATCTGATGCAGACATCAAAGAAAGAAAATAGGATCCCAGGACTTGCTTTAACTCCTCAGAACAGAAAGGAATGATGAGGACCACACTACGAAGAACAACCAACTATTTAAAAGCTACCTTTAGAAGTGATTTAAAATAGTCAAAATTAATCACTTCTAAGGCAACACAATTCCACATAGGACAAACTGACCCAGAAGCACGAGATTTCATGTCCCACATGTTTCATTATCTGGTCTTTTGTTCATACATTGTAGCCAGAAATTACCTTTTCTTCATCCAAATGAATGCCACTGATCTCAAAATCAAACATAAAAAGTTCTGCCACTCGCCTAAAAATACAGTAAATCCCTGTTAAAACAGCCTCATTTAATACTAAGCAGCATTTTTTAACAGATCTTGCCTTTAGTGGTTATTTATGTTTCATGTCTTTCACAGAGAGTAACACCACAGTTATATGAATGTCTTTATTACGGACAAAGATTTCCTACATTTGAGGTCCTTAATAATTCATTCAGTGAGAAACAATTTGTCCTTTGTTTTTAGTTTAGTCATCTGCTTTGAAAATATCCTTCAAAATAATTCTAGTACCTGAATCTAGATGTTCAAACAATTTGTGCAAATTACCATTTTAATTTCCTTTCACACTTCATTTATTTTAACATCAGAAATATATCTTTCTAAATCTAATACCCTTGATTGTGGTGAAAGAAGGAAGAAGGAAATAACTTACTCATTAAGCCTGTCTAACCATGTCAGTGAATAAATAATTCAAAACTGTAACTGCATAAGCAGCTAATTAAACCTATTACAGAAACCATAAAGTACGCTTTCAATAAATATACTGCTAATCTAATTTTGAAAAATATAAATAAATTTCTATAAAGTGAAATCAAGTTATATAGACTGTTCTTATTTTATTCCTAAGCACATTGATACATACACCACTGTATAGCATATAATTTTAATCAAAATAATATTATTGAAGAAAATCTTAAATTTTCTTTTATTTTGTTCTTGCAAGATCTCAGTTATTCAGCATAAATATATCTTGTGCTCTACAGTCACATTCTCCAAGATTACACAACTACAAACTTCCTAACTCCTGTGCAGGTAGTTTGGTAGAGCCTAATAAATGAATAATGGAAATGTGGTTTGCTTTCCAAAAGTTGCATTTATTAATTTAAGAAAACACAAAATATAAGTACAATAAGGAACAACATATAGCATCTAAGAAACTAAATCTGCAATGAAGATAATCTATGAAGATCTATAAGTATGAATAAGTACCTGGTTTCTGGATCTAAGGAACTCAATACAGTTTCATCAGCTAGCAGACGTCTCAGACTCTGACATAGTTCAACATCTGTATTTAATCTGAAGAGATACAGGGTAAAAGAATTATGCATTAACAACAGACTAATATTTCAGTTTCTTGTTATTACTCATTCAAGGCAGTATTTAGTGAAACAACATTAAAAGCCAAGGACTGTATTTTAAAATGCTTTCTGGATCACAATCACAATTAAAAAGTAGAAAATTTCTACACAGAGCATGTGTGGACAAACCAGCATGGAAACAGGCATTATGCATCTGACAGAAAAATACTTTTGGATGGTATTTTGTGGCAATATGAGCAAGGCTAACACGGCCTATTTTTTTATAAACAAAGATAATCATGGTGAGAGCATAAGGGTGGGAGAATGTTTTCTAATCCTTACTTTGAAAGGACTCCATTAAAGGAAAACCTTGCACTCAAGTCTGCCATCAGATAAATGTGCTGCTGACTGCCACTGGGCTAGACTAAGAGCTTACTATCCCCAGAACACTTCCACACACCAAGCACTGTCCCCATGCAGGTAACACTGTGCCCATCAGATTTGCTGGCATGTTATCCTGCACTCCCAGGTGGGATACAGCGGGCATTGAAACACATGCACACAACAGTTTATGAGCCTGAGTAATTTCTAATTTCTACAAATTTTGTATCTGAAGTGGTATTCAGATATTAAAGTCATATTGTTATATATAGTACGCTTAATCAAAGTCCTGAGAAATCCACTTTCAAGCATTTTGTCCATAAGCTTTACAACCACTAGAGAATTGTCACAAGCCCTAGAAAAATGCCACTTGAGACTTTGATGGGCTTCAGGGACACGGAGTCATAAACCGCAACTAAAATAGAAAAGCCTTTCATGAGATACTGTAACAAAACTAAATCCTTAAATATCTGTAACAGAAGACTGACACTTTGTTCCCATGCACAAATATTTTTTGTTGATTGCTGTTTTCATAGATGATCATACTGTAATTTTTAAAGCTTCATATGGAAACAGAAAACAAAAAAGAGAAAACAAGAAGAAAACATACTTCTCTACTACAGTACCAATGTTCCTGCAAGCTTCTTCAGCAGCCTCTCTGAATGCAAAGTCAGGATGGGCAACTTTTACAAAATCAGCCTGACACAGTAGAAGAAGAAAACAGTGAGGCAAAAAGACAAATAAAACAACCTCCCAGTTTATAAATAAACTGCATTCAAGCAGTTCCATTTATATTAACATTTATTTTTAGTTCTATGCAATCATTTTGTAGAATTTGCCGTTTTTCAGCTAAAATATAAAGTTGACTAGAAAACTTTGCTGACAATTATTAAACCACACAGTGCCTTGTATCCTTCCAATAAACATTATTAATTCACACTCTTCTTAAAACATTTTAAGCAGTGTGTATCTTAGAATCCTCATTATACAGACCTACTCCAACATATTAAAATGTTATCAAAAAAGATTTTTAAAACTAAATTTTCTAGATAAGATGAAAGCCCACCACTAAATGTGCACATTTCCTAATAGGAAGAAATACTGATTTTTTATAAATCTCCAAATGCTTTGGGGGTTCACAAGGCTGGAAGGATGCTAAAAGGGGCTGGGGAGCTAGGGACTTCCATGACTGCTGACACCAAGTCAGGGTGGTTTTAGCACTGAAATGACAGACTTAAAATATTAGGAACATATTTAAAGTCTAGGACTATACTGAAGATATTAAGCATGATTTTACAGAAAATACATGCAACAAGCTGATAGTGTAAAACATTGCCTTTTGATTGAAAAGGCAGCCTTAGAACTTAACATCTTTATTTCTTAGAATTCGTTTTTAAAATCCTGTACAATACTGACAGAAAAGGTGCTGAATGACAGGTATCAAAATTTCTAACAACAGACAACAATGACCAAATAACTTCCAGACAGTTCTGCAAGCTGTGCAGCTGTGAACATAAAAAGCCTGAATATAATACAAAGGAGATAATTTTAGCTCAGCAAACTTATAAAAAAACTATGGCCATTAAATTCTGACATTAAAGTTTTACTTAGGTATTGATTGATTAATCAGAATTAGGCATAGTCTATACAAAACATAAGAACTAATGACTTGACAGAGCTTGTAAGTACTTTCAGAAGGAAAAAGTGCCTGGCACAAAAGATGTCTTAAATCTATAAAAGAATAAGAAACAAGATTGGAGAACTGAAAACACACTGAGACATTCAAACGTGAAAACCCAAGTGACCTCAAAAAACTCAGTGACCTATTCACTAAGAACTGATTTCAGTATGAAGGTTGGTTCTGCTTCCTCCAACCAAAGAATGATGCTTTGATAAAAGATATACTTCTTTTATATCTTTTAGAGAGCAATATGAAATGTTCTAATATAAAATTTTGTGATGCAGAATATCAGACCAAGTACTCTAAATCTGTGGATGACAAAATCTACAATCTAAGAAATTGCTGCCTTTTTCTTGTGTTAATAAGATACTGCTGCCTTTACTCTGGAAGTTCTTTATGGACCTTCACCTAAAAATTATCGTAACTTAAAACATGTGCATTGCCACTCCAACTTTAACTCTGAAATCAAAACCCTCTTTTCTACAATATAAGTAACGCTGGAGAGTTTATGTGTTAATATTGCAGCAGAAGCACAAGTACAATTTCACTGTTGTTTTTCTTGTTGTGGCTTCTATACTATTTTTGCATCTGTCTTAAAAATAGCTGGACAGTTTGACAGGATTGTACTTCACTATCATTTAGTAAAAGCCTTTGTAACTCACTTTCAATCAATTTAATTTTCTGTCTTGACACAAAACTTCATGGAGCTGATCTGCTATCTGCACTATTACTGCAGTGTAGAAAATCATAAAATGGAACATAGTGTAAGCTCAGCCAGTTTAAAAAAATTTATGTAAAAATAAAAAAAAAGTAACATACCAAGTCTGCTACTCTGCACAGGCTATCTGAAAGCTGATCAAAGATCATTACAGTCTCTGGCCCAGGTGGTGTTGAACATGCCTTCTGAACAAGCTGCTCTGATTCTTGCAATGCTTTGTCCTGTGCTTCTTGAAATCCTTCTGGACAGTTCAGCTCTGGAACACCAAACAGACCCTGCAGTGCAAAACACAGGGAAAACACATCACTATTGCCCTCCTTAATTTCTGCACCTTTTTTTCAAGACTGAATTATCACTACAGAATTTTACCCAAATGACCCCAGCTAGCACACTGTAACATTTCACTGGACAGCAGCACCAGATATCAAGAGATTGCAGGCAACAGGACAGCTGTCTCAGGCTCACTAAATGAGCCCCCTGTACTGGAAGCAGACCTCAAAGGAAAAATCAAGAACAAGTGAAAATGTTTGTGGAATGAACAGTTTTATTCCCGAAGTTCCTATCAAGGAACTTGTCCCACAGGGCAAGGTAAATACACTTACTTGTGCAGGGTAAATGCAGATGGCACTTATGTTCTGCATTTGTGGAAGAGACTTAGAGAGGTTACCACTGATCAAACAAAATTACTAATGCTAACAGAAAGAGAAGCTCCACAGTGCAGACATACAACAGGAAAAAGATTTCAAAGACTCACAGAATCCTGAGTTGGAAGTGATGGCTAAAGACTTTTGGGTTTTATGTATTCTTCATGTATTTGTAGCTTTGTAGACTGTTAATACATAGTTATAACTTCTAGTAATTTCCCAGCTCTCTTTCTCACAGCTAACAAACTCCTATTGATGCATTCTGGAAATTCTGTTTAGTCTTGCCTGTTAGTTTAGCAAGGACACTTTATTTTGCACTATGTATCACAGACATAATAAAATGAGAGTTAGAAGACTGGGGGAGGCTTGGGGGAGCTCCAATGAGGCTGAACCCAGGGGGTAAATTATCTAACCCAGCTGCTCTTCTGATTGGACAATATTTGATAGGTATACTAATCAACTGACCTTATAAAAATTAAGAACTACAGTATCATGTGTACATATGTGTACATATGTGTACATATCACCATGTTGTGCACCTTGAAGGCTTTCAGTTAAAGATTTGCTTTTGTATTATCATTTTAACACTGTTTGAAAAAGCTTTGAGTTTTATTCCACATGACGAAAGGACCCACAAGGATCACTGAATTCAAATTCCTGACTCTGCACAGCACCCTCCCCGAGAGTCACACCAAGTGCCTGAGAGCACTGTCCAAATACTTCTTGAACTCTGTTAGGCTTAGTGCTGTGACCACTCCCTGGGGAGCCTGTTCCAGTGCCCAACCACACTCTGGGTGAAAAATATTATCCTAGTAATTCCTCAATTTCATTTAAATTAAAGCAACATCTCTTCAAGCAATACATCCCTTTGCAACTGCCCAACTACAACATGAGCATCTCCTCACTTCCTGACTACAGCATTAAACAGTGAAAGGTACATGATTTCAAACAAAATCCATCCCTTCCAAATTCAACTTCAGTATCTAAGAACCACAATCTGGATTTTCAAATCTGCAGTCCAGTCAGTTTATAATCCACACTCTGAAAACTCTTTCTATTATAGCAGTCAGCTGCAGGTTCGCAGCTTGCAAAGATTTAACCAAATAAATCAAAAAGCTACAAATTGACAGCTTTCTGTACAAGTATACATTCTGAAGCAAAAGCAACCCTTGAAGTACGCATCCAGAACATTTTGGGTTGCTTTTTCATATTTTCTTTCTGTCACTGTTGCTAGAAGCACCTTCTTTATTTGCTAATGAAAGAAAACCTTTCCTCACACTTCCCATATTTTAATGTATTATTCAGGAAGAGAAACTGGACTAAAGTGAACATTGAAATACGTATTTTTATATTTTTACACATGTCCCTAAAACATAAATATACTTGTGTCACAGCACTCTTGAATAATGTTTGCTGTGTAAGACACTCAAGACTGCTCTTTCACTCAGATCCTTAGCCAGAGGATGCAGTGTCCTGCAATATCCTGGGAGCTCCAGGTCTTCCTGACATCATCACCCACCCCCCAAGCAAGCTCATCCAGCACATGTAGTGCTCTGTGACCAGGATATATCTTCTCTTGGAGATAAATTAACTGCAGAACTCCTATTATATATGATATCAAGTTTGACACAAAAAAATAAAAATTACAAAAAATGAAGCTTGGTGTAGTTCTCTCTGTTCTTTAATGTTATTGGCTGCATGGCTGAAACATTTTTGTCTTCGCTTGGTCTCAGCATTTACATCCTAGCACAGCCTCTTGGTGAGGCTGAAATATGCACCTCTATTCCAAAAGAACTGTGGGCCAAGTGAATCACCTGGAACACATTCCCTAGACCAGCCAAATGGACAATATTTAACTGGATTATTTCCCGAACCAAGACTTCCACCAGTGTGCTTGCAGAGGCATGAGAACCTGAAGCAAGGTTTCCCAAGCAGGTGCCAGATTATAAACAGAGGTCAGATTTGTCCTTTCTAAAACCCAAAGTTCACCAGCTCCACCACGCTGGGCACCCTGGCAGGAATAGCTGAATCAGCAGGCAAACACCTGGATTTTACAGCTGCACCTCTTCTGTATGCACTGCGCCACCTTACCCTCTCCGGGTAAGACACATTAACAAACGTTCCTGACCCTACAAAGATACGCATCAGAAAACTCAGCTGTCACCAAATCAGCAAAGAAATCCTTTTCTCGCCACAGGCAAGACATCAAGAATAAGCCCAGGCAAGGGGATGTGAGCAGCGTGGCCGCTCCCGAGGCACTGTCCGAGCTCAGGGGCACGGCACTGGCACGGGAAGGACGGCACAGCCGGGAGAGGGCTGGCAGGAAGGGGGAACGGAAGAGGCAGTCTCACTTTATGGACATGGGCACCACTGAAAAAGCGTTCCCACGCACAAGGCCGTCACTGTCAAATGCTTCTGTGTCCAAAACCAACAACGTTTGGGTTTGCTAGAACCAATATAAAAAAAATATTACACACAAGAGAAAAACTACCCCCACAAATTCCCTTAAAACAGTTGAGACAAGCAAAGGAAAGCACGAGGCTGCCAGGGCTCCTGCCGCAGCAGGCCCGGCCCTCCCCTCCCGCCGCTCACCGTGTCCCTGCCCGCCGCACCGCCGCGCAGCGGCTGCTGCTGCTGCTGCTTCACATCGAAGGCAGTGCCCACGGGGCACCAGCTGGTGCTGACGGCCCGGCCGCCCTGCCCCGCCGCCCGGCCCCGCAGCGCCCGGCCCAGCGCCGCGGGCAGCGCCCGCCGGCAGCCGCCCAGCATGGCGGAGCGGAGCGGAGCGGAGCGGAGCACAGCGCCGGGGAGCGGACCGGGCCCGGCACGGCCGCGGCCTTCGCACGCCCCGCTCGGCCGCGACCTCCGCGCGTCCGCGCCGAGGGGAGGAGCGGCAGCAGGAGGCGGAGCGAGGCGGAGCGAGGCGGAGCTCCGGGTCCCCGCGGGCCCTCATCCCGCGGGGCGCCTCTGCCCCGAGTTCTGAGCGCTCCCTGGTCCTGCCTCGCTACCCGCCGGGCGCCTCTGCCCCGGGCTCGGAGCTCTCGCCGGGCTCGGAGCGCTTCCCGGGCCTGCCCCGCTTCCCGCCGGGCGCCTCTGCCCCGAGCTCGGAGCGCTCCCCGGGCCTGCCCCGCTTCCCGCCGGGCGCCTCTGCTCCGGGCTCTGAGGGCTCCCCCGGCCTGCCCCGCTTCCCGGGTCACCAGCGCACGACCCGGCCGCACCGGGGCCTCTGCCGGCTGATACCTGTCCTACACGTTCTCCAGTAATACCTAAGGCCCTTTTAAAATGGGTTTTCGGTCTACATATTTCTGTGATACAAACTTGCGGCGTGTGGCTTACGGGAGGAAGCTTCGTCTTGCTGAAAATTTCACAAAGCCCTTTCCTCAGCCTGAGTGTCCTTGTATCTCCCTCGCTGTCATTTGAGAAGTGCAGCTGTTCCTCCTGAATTAACCCACCGTGCCCTTTCCGTTTGGGCTCCGTGATCTACACTCTGGTTCAACTACTGTAGGAACGTGCCCACATTCCCCTGGTACCCTGAGGTGATGATGGGTTACCAGGCCTTAAGCTCTTAACACTGTATTTCTCCTGAATTTCATGATGCTGATCCATCTCCATCGGCATCTCCACTTCATTCTCTTCTAAGAGAAGTGAATAAGACTTCCTTTTTTTTTTTTTTTTTTTTTTTTTAATTTTAGAAGAAAAGGAGTGGGGGGAGGGGGGAAGAAGAAGAAAAAGAAAATTTGGGGGAAAAAGTGACAGAATTTTTATGTATATTTTATTTCCTGGTTCATGGCACAGGAAATAACTCTTGGCCAGTTCTCTGGCATGACTGCTTCAGTATTGATTAAATGTTATCTTTAATCTGGGAAAATTTGTTTTGCACCAGCTAATTCTGAAGTACAGCAAATTTATGCTCTATTTTTGCACTGGCCTTGAATATCTGACCACATCAGAGAATCCACATGGCCCTTCCTCCTAGCATTCCATTTTGTTCAATTTCAGACCTGTGACTGCACAGAGAGAAAATAACCATATTTAAAAGCTGTAAATGAAACAATGAAACTTGCTTGCACCACACGGCAAGCAGCTTCTGCAGAGGTATCAAACTGCACTAATTTCAAGTTTAAAATTTATTTTAAAGTGGTTGGATGCAAACTAACCAAGTTTCAAGTCCATCTACACATGCCACCTTGGAAGATATAAAAGTGGCTTGGAACTGTTGCTTCTTGTTTATACAAGATATCCCACACAACATCATTCCGGAACTTTTGTCTTTTATTTCACTTTGCTTTGAAATTTGTTCTTCAGTACTGGGGTGCACACCGCTGTGAATGCCTACAGTAAGTCACCAAACCACTAATGTTAAGCCCAGCACTGTAGACTCTGAAGACTTGTCCTCTCTTGTGCAGAAGCTGTTCCTGAAACCAAGTGTTTTCTGTTGAATCCAGCAGAAATTTCCCAGCAGGTAACAGCTTTCTCGGGGAGGGCTGGAGGGCTCAGGCACACAGCATTCAGGGATAACACAGAGCTATGGGCTGGGCAGCAGCAGTGGCTCCAGTGGGTCAGCGGTGCTGAACAGGAGGAACCCAGAGAAAGTGGTATCATCATCACCATCTGCATAGAGCCCATTGAAAGCCTCTCCTTGGTGGGCCTGCAGCCACACCTCATCTCCTCCCTGCAGCTCGAGGATGGCAGCTCCTGAGGCCTGGTCCTCCCCGCTCTGGTACCTGTCCACCGTGTGCAGCATCTTGATGCCGTTCTTCACGAGAGCTACTCGCACGTTCCTCGAGTAGACAGTGATGTGGTAGGTGAAATAGTAAACGCCGGGGTGTTTGCAGGTGAACTTGCCAGTAGCCGAGCTGAAGTCATTCAGACTGTTATACAGCACCTTGTCAAACTTGATCGGGCGATTCGGAGGGGGAAACTTGGTGTTGGCTGTAAGGCCGACACTGAAAGCGCTCCTTGGCAGGACTCCCGGGGCTCCTACCTCCCCCTTGTCTCCTCGGTCTCCTTTCAAGCCTCTTTCCCCCTGAACTCCTGGGTTACCCTGTGGCCCTATACCTCCAGTATTGCCTTTAGGACCGGGATTACCAATCGGGCCAATCGGCCCTGGGAAACCAACTCTTCCAGGATGGCCAATTTCACCCTTTGTCCCTTTTGGACCTATGGGTCCAATGTCTCCTTTTAAACCCTTTTGTCCTTGCAGCCCCAGCTCTCCCTTCTGGCCTTTGTAACCCACTGATCCTATAAATCCTTTTGGTCCCAGTTTCCCAGGTGGTCCTCTTTCTCCTTTATCTCCTTTGTTCCCCTTCTCTTCAACAGTCCCATTGGTTCCTAAAGGGGGAAAAAAACCAAAACCAAGTAATAATTAAAACAAAACAAAACAACTCCACAACTTTCTTGTGATCCTCCATTGGAAGGCACAAATTGAAGTTCATCATGAGGAGACACATGGGCAAGTGTGCAGCTCCACTGTGCATACTCCACTGTGCTCACTGTACACACAGTTTCTCTCATACATTTAAGTGCAGGATAAGCATAATATCTGAAGAGCCTGCTGTTTTGTAAGAAAACAGGTGCTCTGGCTGGCATCAGCAAGAACAAGCTCAAAGAAAGGAAGGTTATCTATGGGCTGATGATAACACTGACAGTTCACATCATCTCATACAAAAGCAACATCTGTCCACACTTTTTTAGAGCCTTAGGTGTATAGAATGGATGAGAGGGTTCACAATTTAATCAGAGGAAGAGGAAGAGGGTTTTTTTACAACACCCTGAACATTACTTGAATTGTCACATGTTTCTATAATTTCTACATATAATTTCTACTTCTGGGTCACATAGGTTGCTACTGCAGCACAACTAAAGGTGTTTTGTCCTGGTTACTTGCCACCCTATGCTTTATTTATCCTTCACCCATCACTGATCAGAAGATCAAAGCCTTCAAAACTGCTCTGATTGCTGCACAAGGTTTTGAAAGTGAAGATCTCATGATGTGAAAGGCACTTTAGCAGTTGATAGACAAAAGACACCATAAAGAACTATGCTCAATACATCAAGAAAAGAAGCTGGTCAATTCTGCTCAACAGCCTTTGGCTTCTCCTGTTGGGAATAATGCTGTTTGTACAGTTTGTTGTTCTCAATTTAGAAATTAGAGAATCTAAATTAGATGAGATTGTATGATGAGTTCACAAACACAAGGGCAGCAGTTCATAGACAAATATTAAGTTTAAGTACTTCTCTGACCTCGTTCACCTTTCTCTCCATTGACACCATCTTTTCCTGGACTTCCAGGAATTCCTGATTCACCTAGTACAGAAATAAAAACACAGATATTCATTAAACAAATTACCAGAAAGTTTGGGAAGAGTTCTTCTTTAATCTTTCCTCCTCAATCCTGGCCAAACAGTAATGTAAAGCAAAGCTTACTCCTGACTTTTAGTGTCTGCCACTGCTGGTAGTTTTATCTTACAGAGAGATTGACAAAGAGCAGAGAAACTCTGCTTGAGGATGGTGCTTTTGGGGTGCAGATGAAATCCTTGGCATAATGAGATGAGTTATTGAGACATATCCTGTTGTTATAATTTGGCAAGGATCACCAGTGTAAAAACTTCTCTTGTAGCCTCCATCCATGGAAATTCAGCAAGAAGCATTGCTGGGGCAGGAAGCCTTGCAGTTTGACAAAAATGTGGTTTTGTGGTGGGCCTGGCAGTGCTGGTTTAATGATTGGACTGGATTATCTTAGAGGCCTTTTCCAGCTGTAATGATTCTGTGATTCTAAGAATGGTGAACTCCCACCTCAAGAAGAGACATGCAGGAGTTTAACTGATGGCAATGGATCATTACAGTGGAATAATATTGCCTAGAAAGCTGAAGAAGGCATTCACACTCTTGATCCCTGTACCTAGCATGATATGGACTTTCCAGTGCTCTACAGAAAGCAATTATAGAAATGATTTTTGTAGTACAGATGCCCAAGAAGTCCATGATCAAATAACTGGATACATCCTGAGTGCAGCAACAGAAGAAAAACAGAGTTGGCTGTTTGGTTGTAATCATATTCCAAGAGTAGCTTTCCAGTCATGTGGACCAGAGAACAGTTCTTTAGGAGTTTCCTGTGCATTGGGTGCATCCCAGCATCTGCTCAAACTTCATTGACTTGGTAAGGACCAAAATTAATTCTCATGTATTAAACCACAAAGATGTATCTATATAGAGTGTAAAAATGGTACATTCACCACACTTTGTTCAAACAAAGAACAGTTCAGTACAGTCATCATAACAGATGAATTTAGGAAAAATGTTGGAGAGTTTATCAGAATCTAATGGTATCATGATAACTCACTGGAGTGCAGGAAGGGCCTTTATAAAATAAATGAAAATATGAAAGCTTTAGGTTTTCTGGTTTTCCCACCTTTCTGGAACCCTGCATACAGAAAAAGAGGGCAGTTAAATGTATGTGCCTATTAAGATGCTAATGGAAATCTTTATTTCTTTCTATATTTTAAAAGGTGATGAAGTGTTATATGTCCATATGCCTGCAGATTTATCACGTTGTGCAACCCTGGCCTTGATATTCCAACATGGACACAAGGGCCATCATTAACCTAAGGCTTAAGGTATTAAGGGGGTGATTAGCTTTAGGATGCTGAGATTATCACTGGCTTTGATATCTCACACAAATCTCTATTATAGCCTGCTATAATAGAGCTATAGCCTGCTAACATTGTTGTTCAATAGTCTCCATTTCTGAACTTACTCTAGTGACTCTTGAGTTACAGCAAGTAGGCACACTCAGAATCAAGTCCTTCTAATGTATAATTTAGATAAGAAAGAGAAGTCTTCTTACCACTGCATACTTCCTACTACACCAAACAAGGTATCAGTTGTTGCTTTTTTGTTTAGTGGGCTTGAAGCTCTTTGCAGAAATATAATTTCTATCTTAGAGGAGTAGGAGTAGGTCTGCAGGCCTTATAATTTTCAAATACACTTGAAAATACTCCCATGATAGAAAGTAAAGCCTTTTTTACTTTAGTTTTTATCCGATGAGCCTGACATCTCCATAGTATTTGCTGTCTTGCTTTCATTATGCCCTTTTTTATATTTCCTTCTTCAAACAGGTAAATGACAAATGTCTGAAATGTTTTCATTTCAGCTAGGCAGAATAATCCCATTCATGCAGAGTTACTACAGACAAATTTGAGAGTGAATGCCCTTGCATTTGATATATTAAATCTTTCATTCTGAACAAAGTACCTTTATCTCCCTTGTCTCCTTTTGCCCCGTCACGTCCATCCCGACCAGGTATGCCATTGTGCCCAGGATTGCCAGGGATGCCAGGATACCCTTGGGTGCAGACGTCCTGGCTCTGGGTTTCTGCTGTGCTGACCACAATAGCCAGCAGTACAATCCAGCTTCTCATTCCTTAGATAGGTTATATGACTTTGGCTGAAATGTTTAAGAAGAAAAAGTACATCTGCCTATGCCTACCTTAGAAAGGAATGCAGGGTGGTGCAGGGAGGAAAATAAGGAAATGGGGTTTCACCATGTCTGTTTTTTAGTTTTATTTATAAATCTTTCTATAGCATTAATTACAGTCCTGGAGACTACTGAGTGCTATTTTGAATAATTATTTAATGGACATATCAGTCCTGGCATCATTCTACATTTAAAATATTAGCTTTACACAATTCTCCATCCACATTTCTCCCTGCACCTACTTGTGACTGCATGGTTGTACCTTTCATCTTCCAAGATATAGTCTTATGGGAGGTGACCTAAGGCAATTCAACCCCTCATTCAGCAAAAGCAATCACTTTTAAAATTTTAAATTTTTAAAAATTATTATTATTCACTCAAATTAGTCCCCTACTAGGTTAATAAGTGAATGACCTCAGATGGGTTAGAGCTGGAGCAGAGTGAGACGAGGGCAAAGGTGTGAGAGATCAAGAGAGTTTTTTGGCAAAAACAAGTCTTTAGCTGGGTGCTCCCAATTCATGTAACTTTGCTACTAAAATTCCATCTTATATTTATCTTTTCACTAGAGAGTCCCTCCTATATAATGTTTTTTAATATAGGCCCACTGAAATACATTAAGGCTTAATCCTGGACACAGATGGTTTAATTGAGTGTAAGAGCAATTGCTTGGAAGAGATTAGACTGAGGAATAAAAAGCAAATAGCAACAAAATTAATGCCTATTTTATTTGTAATTAATATCCAGAAATATGTAATGCACAGAAGCTATATAGGTTAAGTACTTAAACAGGTAGAAGTGATTGTTAGTATGAGTAAATGTTACACAACTGGCTTTGGAATTAGTTCTTTTATGAATGAGGAGTAAGATCAGTATTTCTTTTGCAATATTAACTGGCATTAACTAAAAAATTATGTCTTCTCTTTAATCCCTTCACCACAATTTCTCACTCTCATGAAAAAATGCACACAAGTACCACCTAGAGAGACATCAGTATGTCCACAATAAGAATAATTACACCCTTAATCTAATTTATAGAGTAAGTCTTTAGCTTTGGGACATGCTCCTTAATCTTTTTATTCTGTGTTTAGAAAAGTTCCCCATTTTGGAATCATTATCAGAAATGATTTATGGTGTCTTTGCCAATGGATTTACTTGGACATGTTTGATCACCAACCAGAAAAATCCCACTTTGCTGCTGCTGGTTGGCACTGAAGACAGGTGAAAACAGATAAAACATTTGCCCCTTCTGAGGTATATAAATATATGCTGCCTTAGTCAAAGGGCACCGTAAGAGTTCAAAAGGAAGAAGGGCTCTGTATGACACTTCTAAATATGACACTGTTAGGTTATGATGGAGAAGTCTGACAGTCCTTGTCCCCTTACAGAGAACCCCATTCCCAGCTGCGTAGGGAAGCATTTCCTGCCTAAAGAATAGACAGTGTGGTTGGTCCCCATACATACACTCCTCTCTACAACCTGACATCATCATCATCTATATAGGACCTTTGTTCTTACCTTGTTCACTTGGTACTTGCAGTGTTCTTGGGCATCTTTTAACTGAGTGTAGAAACTTCATGTAAAGGAAAGCACACTCCGATGTGTGCCTTGAGGACAAGCCCTTGTTTGGTCACTAAATTCTCAAAGGTCAGTGATTTAATTTTGAGAGCTGTTCAATAATTAAAACAGAGGTTTAAAGTGGAATCTTTCTATTTATTCCAATATTAAGCTGAAGTGCTCTGCTGTACTTTGGCTTTTACCACTGTTACATAAAAGGAAGTTGTTTTTTTTTAAAAATGGATTAATAAGGCTTTGTTTTCCTGTTCCTTTGTACAAATATATCACACAAATGTTAGCCTCTGACAGGATGATTTGTGGGATGGAAGGCATGTTTCACACCATTATTGTGCTGCTAAAATATGTAATGAAGGTAATTTCTGAATCAGGTAATTTACAATGGATTTAGGGACATAAACTATAGAAATTAAACCAAAATATTCTAAGAATGTGGCATTACAATTATTAGGTGATTATGGAAAAGCAGTAACAAGGTTAAATTAAAAATAGAATAAACAGAATTACAAAGTTTTTCATGTGTAATAAGCAGGCTCCCTATCTACCTATTCAAGCATCAGTCAAAGCTATTGGGCTACAAAATTATGTATTAGTGGTAACTCATTTGAAAAAAGCCATAACTCAATTCTTAACTGTGTCTTTTTGAAACTACTGGAACTGCTGTTGTCTAAGGACTAGTGGAAGTCAACTGAGCTTATCATCAACTCCCTAAATGCTGATCATCAACAGCGAAGGACAAAACCAAAAGTAACGTGAGTTAATGTGTTAGAGGAAGTGGCCTTAATTCACCCTTGTTGGTTCAAGTGACTGCAAACAGCGTCTGAGGGTGTCACCACAGTGCAAAGATGTGACACGTGTGCTCTTCAAACATCAAAGAATGTTTGTAATCATCTCAGCCCCGCAGAGAAACGAAGTTTTCTGTAAGATCTTCACCACCACCCTGTGGTGACGCCAAAATATTGCAAGAGTTGAGTTGCCCTGGCTTGAACCTGGGGCATGGTGTCCACCGCGCTCTGGGGAAAGGAGGGTCCCCGGGCAGCAATTCGCTGCTCTACTTGAATGAACTTCTGTAGCCAAATTAATCTTGCTGCTGTGCTAATTGAGAAGAAGAAACGAGACCCACAATGAACAATCCTTTTCTCTTTACACATTAAGCACCATCTGAAATTTTCTAAGCCTGCTTAGCCTCAGCCTCCTTTCTCACCTAAAAGTTTGAGTCATTAAAAAACAGCCCATCCTGCCAGTTAGGAATAACGTCATTCATTAGTTACCTATACCTTGATGGACTCTGCAGTTAGTCTGGTTTGATGCATTTTTAGCAGACAACCAAGAAAACTGCTGTAGAAAGCACCTTAAAGACAAATGTTTCCTTCAGCTGCTTTTTAGTGCCTTGTCTCATTACAGAATAATTATTTGAAAATAATTACACGGGAGCAAGAGTTCATAATTTGCTCTTAAAAAACATTGAAAGGCAGGAGATGCAGAGGATTTTAGATTGACTGCTGTGCTAATTACCTTTGTTAGGAGATGAATATGACAGCAACGACCATGATGATTAATTAGATATACCTGACCTTATTAGCAGAGCTGTTTCCAGACACTTCTTCAGTAAGTCAGTATCTCTGAAGTCTGGGGTGTGCTTATAGGAAGAGGCCATGGTGCACCTGCAGCTCCTCCTTTCCTCTTATGCAGTTTCAGCTTTCCTGAAAAAAAATCCCTGGGAAAAACAGTGGATAAATCCTACATCACCTTGTGGTTGGACAGAAACTCAGCCCGTCAAGAGCAGTGGTACTCCTTCTTCTCAACTTCTCTTCTGAACTTCACAGCTCCAGTGATGCAGATGGACACTTTCCAATCTCTGCCTGTCCACAGAGTGGTTTGGCTGCCAATGCAGGTGTCCCACTCAGAATGTTTAAAACATTAAAATGACTCAAATAAATGTTGTCCAGGTGTCAATCACACGTACACACTCCCAATCCCCCCCAAGATGCACAACAGAAATGTAGGATGTAATGATGAGCTGTAAACAGACAATGATGTAATGTAAACAGAGGGAAGGTGTGATGGATGTGGGTCACTTGACTGGTGTGACCTGCTGTAGGTGCCAGCAGAGATATTTGGGGATGCCCCAAGGAGTCTACAAAGGAGGTGCAGGTGTGAACACACGTACACACACACAGACACAGACACAGACACACACACACACACACAGAGACGTCTGTTTTTTGAAATCAGAGCACAAATACCTAATAGTGCCAATAGGTGAGTTCTCAGCTCCAAGCACTGGACAAGTTCTGATTGCAGTGAACTAAACAGGGACTTAAGATTAACAAAAAAAGTGTGCTAATAGTTTATACAGCTTTATCATATTCTCACAATTACATATCCTCTAGTTAGAGTAACTAGATTTTGTAAAGCATTTAGAAACACATTTATTTGTATAAGGAGTATTTGTGTGCCTTCCTTACAAACTACGTGGTGTGCTGTTTTTCACTGCTGAGTTTTTAATTTCTCCTTTGATTCTGGAACATGAAACAGCCTGAGTCCTTGTCTCTGTTACCAAGCACAGATGATTTGCAGCCTTTGGAAAAACCTAAACAACAAAAAAAATATAAGACAAGCAGTGCTATTTCTGTGCAAACTAAAAGCTCCATCTGATAGATCTGCTCTCAAGGAACTTAAAAGCCGAAAGTAAGAACAATTTAGAGGATTTAGCCTGACTGCCCAAGCATGAAATAAAAGGCACAAATGAGCTCACTCTGGCCAGTTGAACCACAGGGTCCTTAGAAAGCCTATTGATTGCTACATCCTACTCCAATGTTTGCTTAGGGTATGTTTTTATGTCATCCAATCTATCTCACTGAGTGCTCAAATTGTGCCTTACACTTTAATGTTGGGGCACTCAGCACACATCCCACCACAGCAGCAATCTTGGGAGGCAGAAACTCTCAGCTGTGAGATTAACCAAGAAATATAAGAGTCCAGATGTTGGAAAGAGGGATAAAGAATTAGCAAACCAACTATTGTGCCAGCAGTTGCGCTCATCAAAACATTTCTGATGAAAAGATTTCAGCAAAGTATGTTATCTTGTTAAAGCTGGTGTGTCTCAGCAAAACACAATTTTTGACACAGCCTGGAGCAGGAAGAACACAGGCACACCTTTGAGACGTGGCCCTCTTCCCTATCAGAACAGTGAGACACAAAATTTCTCTGAATCAGAGAAGTGAAATCCCCAGCTGTGTTGCCCATTGCTCTATCAAGCAGACAGGTAAGTCTGTTCACACATGTGCAGAACATGCCTTTTGGGTGAACCCCTTAAAATGGGTTTGCTTTCGTTCCAAAGAAAATGAAATTAAATCCTCCTTACCTGCCCTGCAATACCTAAGTCACCATCCCCTGTTAGCATGAGCTTTATGAGCACAGAAGCTGCACCTGCACGCATTGCAAGGTACTGTGTGAAGCCTCTGCCAGGACAAGGTAAAGCATGGTAATCACAGGCTGAGACAGCAACGGGCACGGGCTTTGCCTGAACAATGAAGAGTTCAATACCAGAACCAGGCTTAGTCATTGTTAACATGAACTTGTGCTGGGAAGTACTGAAGCTGTTACTGGGAAAACAAGAGAGCATGGTGTGACTTTTTTCTTTAAAATACTAGAAGAAACATGACATTTTTGCATCATGAAGGAAATTTTGTAGACAATAAAAAAAAACCACAACAATTTTAAAACTGCACATAAAGTTTTATAGGACACAGATGAGGAATTCAGTTTTGTATATTATTTAATTCAACCATGTACAGTAAGAGAAAAATAATAGGAATGTAAGTTTGTACTTATTTCCAGAAAATAGATTCATTTGACAAACAACATTCAAAGAGTAAATAAACCTTGCAATGCAGTTACTCCAGAAGAAATGCACATCAAGCTACTGCTGTCCTATACATTGTACTTCAGCTGTCAACAGCCAATTCCTCTGCTCTGCAGCCAGGACACTTCATTTACAACATGTGTAACAGCACACACACAGGGTGAGGTGCACAAAGCAATGTATGGAAGGTATAATGTTACAAAACACTTATCAAAATAAAATATATATGCAAGTTATTCCTAGTATTTACAACAAAGAGTTTTAAATTAGAGATCATTTAGATGGCATCTGCTACATACAAATGCCACACATATAGAAAAGAAAGCAGAAAGGCAGTCAGAGAAAGGTACTGTGTTAGTTATGGCTAAAGACCTTTGGCTCCAAAATTGTGATATAATTATTTCCAAAAGACAACTAAAATATGGAACATTTTAGAAGTCTGTCTTTGAACTCAGTTCTTACGCTGACCACTAAAATTCAATGTGAAATTTAGCATGGCAAGAGCCACTTGTAAAACAATCTTATTATTTTATACATCAAATGCTCTGAGTTGGATGCAATTATGGTTTGGCATTTCCTAACTCAGTGGGAACACATTTGAGGACAATTATATTTTACTGCATCTCATGCAAAAAGTCTGAGGTTATCTGCTCAGCAGGCCATCAGGAAGGCTCTGGCTGGGCTTTATCAAAATGAGGCACAAATGTTCTTAGTTGTTGCCCTAGAATTTTTTATAGTAACTTAAAGCATGCAAGTGGAAAAGAACAGATGTTGCTATCACAGCTTTCTGGAGATCTATATATAATTTTTGTCACCAGAAGGAGAATCAGGGCAAGAGTTGCTGCAATTCAAACTTCTACATTTTAGTTGCAACTCCTTCCCAGAGACTCTGAAGTGAGGCTAACTCCCAAGTAAATATTTGTCTTAATTGTTGAATAATACATGTTTTCATTTCACTATAATTTGTTTAAAAGACTATGGTATAGTGTAAATTTGGCCTGTCTTACTATATTTGATCTTCAATCTGTTGCAAGGTCATATTGCAAAGAAAGACAGAGAGAGCATTACAAAACAACCATGTCTACATGAAGGGTACTATATATAAAACTGTCCTGAGTAATCTGCACCATGAAATATTTTCTCTTTATTTCTTTGAAATTCACTTCTTGAGAAAAAATCTACTGCATCCAAAACCATATGCAAACATTTCTGTTCATTTTTAGGGCTAAGGCACCAGCACTAATACATGGGAAGAGCCTTCATGGACACTGACATGTCAGAAGAAAGATCCCCAAACCTTTTTTTTCCAGCACCCCACAGAACTGAGCGCTGGAAGGAAGTAGGTTTCAGCAAAGACACATATAAGTGTGGATCTCATAACGTCTTCAGGTCCAGCTAGCAAAGTTTCTGGGTGAGCACTGCAATCCAACTTCAGCCTTTTTTTCTGCACTTAGAAGAAGTCTTTCAAAATGTGATTATGAAAAACATCATCTTTACTTGCGCCGTACGTGCATCTCACTGGTTTACAGGCCTGAACGTGGCAAGTACCCACAAAAATGGGTATGTAAGAAATGCAAAAGGCTTACTCATTTGAGGGGAAGGGTGTGCATCCATGCCTGCATTTGGAAGTCTGCTCCTTGTGTTTAAACTGAGCATTTAGAATTATCTATTTTTAAAAATCTGAGCAGCAATGGCTGGCTTAAACATCAAGAGAAATATACAAGCAGCTTTTTTCACTGACTTCCCTGTGCATTGTCTTTCAGCTGGATCACTGCAAATGTCAGTGTGCACTTCCAGTTCTTAACTAGTTTACATCATCTCCCATTGCTATGGGAAAGCACAAGCAATGAAATTTACTATGCAGGGCACAATTTGGCTGAGCATACCAGACTTTGCCTTATTGCTGAGCTATATACACAAGGCATTTGAAATGTTAAGTTGTCAAAAAGATGTAATTTAAAATCAAAACCATAAACCTGGGCCTTGCAGAAGTGGCCACAAAGTTATGAAATCACAAAACCTAGTTAATAGTGAGCTTCACAACACTGATGGTAAATAAAAATATGGAGGTAACAATAGTAGTAGGAACAAATGCATCTTTAAAATAAGGCTTTTTTACATTGTTGTTAAAATGCCTGGCGTTTAGCCCCTTGTTTATTTTTCATATATTACAGATCCATGACAAAGCTGATTGTGCCCACTGTCAAAGAATACCCTTAGATCTATCCTAATCATCAGGTAATGCCCCTAATCAGCAGCATAGGATAAAGTATTGCAAAGACATTCATAACAAGTCAGTTCTGAATCATATTGAGTCTTTACTTCCTTCCATATTCCCAGCAGTCTTGTCATCCTTGATGAGAGCAAGCAAGCAGAAACTATCAGTGCTACAAATATCAGATCCTCTTCCTGGTGGCTTTTTAAAAGTTATTCTCCCAGATCCATTTCATGCCACAGAGGAATTGAAGCAATGCAAATCATGGATTGCATATGCTGGCCAGAACTGACCTTAATCAAGTCAGGTTCTTCCTCTTCCAATGGGGACTGATGACACCAAGACAAAAATCCATCTCTGGTCCACATGATTTCTCTGTCCCTTCCAGTAAGGATTTCTCTTTCTTTTTGAAGAAGTTACTGGTCAAAACCCATTGTCTATTGAATGTGTACAAGAAGTATGGATCCAGACTGCTTCAATATATTTACATTACAATTTATTCATTTTCTAAGTCCAGCTATATGAATAAAAATCATGAGATCTATGTAACATAGCCAGCAGTCACAATGTACTGTCTCAACTCTGATTTTGTACATTCACATTTATCTCCGTGAGAAAATAAATATGTATTTTTTACACAGAGAAATAAACATATTGGAAATACAAAGAAGAGTCTCCCAGGTGAAGAAATGAGTGAAAAAGCGATGTGAAAGCTCTACACTGAAGAGTATACACGCATGCATCTGCTCTGACTGAAATGAATCAATCTGAGATGCCCTGGGTTCCTCTTGTTTCCACCTGTGTGCAATAAATGCACATATCTTTACAGTCCATTTCACACTCTGTTCCTGTTTCTATAGGACAGAATAAAATTTCCCTGTTCCAATCTGGAATATGGTAAGGCCTTGCGGGATGTTTTCCTGCCATTTGGCAATGTAATAAAAAAAAGACAGGAAGGATTAGGGTCCACTAAATTCTGCACCAGCTGGTAAATCACATGGGATAGCTCCACCTGATTTTAATGGGTGATCTGTGCTCAGTGCTCCAGAAGGAAGGAGAAAACTCTCCTAAGACTCCTTGCTGATACATCCCTATAGAAAAATTCCTCCCTATCCAAAATTTGGCCATCAATATAAGGTTAAGAAAAATGAAATGTTACAATGACCTGCACAATTCCATCACTACCTCAACATAACTAAGAAACAGAGATCAAATACTGCTGTTTCTGAGTAACAGCAAGTTGACTTTGTCAGAAGAGAGACTGCTCTTCATCAGCAATGCTGACACTTGGCAGCATGGACTTCAGAGCAGCCCTGACAAACTTCTTATCCAAGACAAAGGCTGCATTCCTGGCCCAAGGGAACCCAAGGTTCTGCCTCTGAAATGGGAGATTCACTGAGCTCAAGTAAGCTTGACCATGTCTCCAAGGTCCTTCTCTGAAGTGAGTCTCCCTCTGTGCTGATGCCCTTCCAGGTCCTTTGGCCTCTCACTTTTTAAAGGGAGTGAGTTTGTTGAAGGTATGCCAGAAGAGGGATGGCTTCCGCTTGGGCTCTGCCAGGGCAAAGACCTGCTGCTGCGGGACGCTGGTAGGCACGGTGATGTGTCGCTGGTGAAGGGGATGAAGGGTTTGGTGTAGAGGAGGCAGAGGACACCCATTATAGCTCACACCTGCAGAAGAACAGTTGGAGAAAGCACCTGAATCAGCCAAGGAAATTTAAGCACAGAGCCAGGGGACAAGATGAATTTTGCCATGATCTTGAATGGCACAACTACTAAAGGTCATGTTTTCTGATGTTTGACTTTTTAATTGATGCATTGATTTGGCTTAAGAAGACAACAGTGCCAGTAAAAATAATATAACAGAATAACTAAAAACAAGCAGCAGTTTCACACAGCTGGGCTATACTGTTTGCACAAATAAATCCTTGTATTTCAAAGGAATGACTTCAAACAGAAGATCCTGGTACTTCAGTCCACTCTCAGAGCAAGGCTGGGTAAAATACTGCTACCAACAAGACTGTTGTTTCTTCCATTCGAAATATATTTTTCTGGGTTAATGTTCCTAAGACTGAGCTTTGTGGATTCTGAACAGAATCTCCTCATTACAAACTTTAGCCACTCCCCTGAAAATCCAGACAGGTTCCAGGGGTACCTATTGATTGATTAAGAGAAAATGCTTTAAGAACATTAATCCCAGTGAACAAAAGACAACTTAACATCAACTCCTTCACTCCTAAACTCAGACTGAAATCTTATTCCACTTTTCTCTCAGCACAGTAGAGATTTAGCTGAGTTTGATTTTAAGATAGAAAAGGACAAAATCCATTGTGATTTGTTTGTGTTGTGATTATTTTCTGAGAGAGGAAATGAATAAAAAAGCCATTTCATGGCAAACAAGCTTCTGGTCCATCCTTCCTTCTAGAGGGATGCCAGAAGAAGCCATTTTGACTGTTATTGTAAATAATATAACAATGTCATTTGCAAAAAGAACTTTAGGATATTTTAAACAAGACACAGAATTGGTAAGAAGAACAAGGTCTTTGAGTAAAAGCAAAGGAAGGAATTGTAGCACTAATTTATAATTTAACCTGTGCATCCCATTCATCACAACTTTAAAAATAAACACCTTGCCTTACCTCTTGAGTTTCTTCTCTAACATACAGAATACTGACTTGTCTGTTTGAAAAAGCTCAGGGAGCTGATTTAGTAGACAGTTTAGAGAGATATTGGAATTTAATATTAAAATACAGGTTGATGGCAATTATTTGACTCCATGTAAGCCACAAAAAATGTTTTTAAAAGATTGAAGAAGTCAGCCACAGCCAGACTGTGCTATTTCCTAACGAAAAGATCAATGGAACACAGCAAGAAGGTAATGCAATTCTCAACACCCACCTTTAATTTTTCCTTGCCTTGACTTACGGGCATTCTGCATGGCTTGTTTCTTCTGGTTTTCTGAGATTTCCATACCTACACATCAAAGTGTAAATTAGGGCACTAGTACATAATTACTGTATCTAATACTTGATTGCACTAAATTAAAACAAATAAGTAAACTGTATCTTAAGTAATTTTTAGTAAATCTAAGTACCAATACACCTGAAGTTTTTAGAAGTATGTTTTATATTGTCATATGAACTTAAAGAGGGTTTTCCACTGGGATAATGACAGATAAATCCAGATAACAAGAGATTAAAAAAAAAAAAAAGGGTGTAAAATAAAATTTTTGAAATCTATAAGTCACCAAGTAATAGATCACAATTGCAGAATCCTTTTGTGTTTCACTCACTCTGAGCTAACCTGGGTAACAGATTGGAGTCACTGCTAGTACAAATTTGGGTGTCTTTCCCTTCACTCAGAGGAAAGTATCATAAAATCTGGCAGATGCTGAAGCAAGCTGTGATGTGGTTTTGGCTGCATCATTCTGGGGCTGGATCCCTCACTCGGGTTTCTCATGCATACTTGTGTAACTCACATGAAGCACATGGGTAACCCTGTGCTATTTACTACCGTGTGACAGGTGTATGGCTGAGCTGGGGTACAGAGGTGACAGACATCTGCTAGAAGGTGGCACCACAGACTGGTGCTGCCTGGAGCCCAGGTAGAGGCACTCCAGTTTCCTCCCCCTGTGCACAACACAGTTGAGATACATGCAAATGTCACATTTGCACAAGGTGACAACATGCTGTGCATAAGGCTGCACTCATTTCACACATATGCACAGAAAGAGCACAGAGGCTGAATGAAATGTCTACTTCAGTTCCATTTTGCATCTTCCCTCACTTCTCTATACTTTTAAAACTCCCTTTTTTATCCTGAACTTATGAACAAGCTATTACAGATCAGCCTAATAACTTAAAACATCCATAATTTTTTGGGTAGCAGTAGTTTATTTTATCCTGCAGGGTTTTTTTTTTTCCTTTATAGAAAGAAGGAAGCAGATTTTTAAAAATGAAAGCAATATCATCAAGAGAGATCAGACCACTTTCTTAGGGTTACTATTAGTGGTTTGGAGAAGGATTTTCTGGCTGTGGTCTTTTCTCTCATATATTCACAAAAGCTAAGAAAAGCTAGATATGGTTTGGGAGACAATGACTCACACCAAAGTGTCTTTGAAAATAGAAGTAAAATGCCATTTGCAGTTCTGAATTGAAAGAGTATTATTTGTTCTCTGAGTGGTCAGATTAGAGGCTTTATGTTTAGCCCAGCAAGATAGCTTACAAAATCAACAAGACAAATTTAAACCTGAGGTTGAGAATAGTGGCATTTTTTCACTGGTTTTGGCTGAAGGAAATGTTTAATTATGCCAAAGAAAGAAGAAATTTTAGAAAAGAAGCAGTCTTCTGGTTAATGGAGAAAAGATCCAAGCCACTGTGGCTCACAAAACCAGATGGACATTAGCTATTACAACTCAACTATCTTTCTTCTGGCTCATCATACCTGGCCCAAAACAGGAATGTTGGAATAGTGAGTTGCAACACTTGAAAAACAACTTTACAGAAAGCTGGATGTTACATGGGCAGAGAAGACTGCATGTGCCATTATCAAACATACTGTTTCTCTTTTAACTGGGCTTTTTTCCCCCACTCTATTGCACTGTGCCTGAAGAGCATCAAGCACAATGGACCCTCCTTGTGCAGTTCTCGCACTCAGCAACCACGGGAATTTGTGACCCAGCCCCAAAACAAGGCTCAGTGCTTTTATGACAAATCTCACTGCCAGTGCCACCACCACTGTTGGATGGTCACTCTTCTAAATATCATATGTTGATTTTCATGAGGTCCCAGCAGAATAAATAGTTTAGGGCTGCAGCTGCTACACCGTTGCAGTTTCCTCATGCTTGGGGATTTCTGCAGCACTGACACTTAGGAGGAATGGTAACACCAAGACAGACCTGTGGTTGCCCAGGGCAGAGCCTCAGGAGCTTCCTGACAGACAGCATCTAACTTGCTCAACATACTCTCCCAGTGCTCCATAAAGTAACCACCCAGGAAGCAGTGCACAGTTCAAGAATGCTTCATCTTAGAAAGGAAAAAATGGAAGCATTCACTTGTTCAGTTTTTATCTTCTTTACCTCAGTCTTGCTCACAAAATGCAGGAGCTGTGTTTTACTCAGTAGCATCCTTCCATGTCACTGAATTATGGTGCTCATTGTATACTGGAGTGGAGTTGTTCTGTAACTTTGTTGTAAGAGGGACTGTGTGGACAATTATGATCAGATCCTCAGCATTGCTCTATTACCCTCTGATCACCTTCACCCTTTTACAATACCCACTGTTTTAGAGTTCTGTTTAGGTGAATTAGGGAAGGCAGCTACCTCATATCCCCATGAGCACAAGGTGACAGAGCAAGCTCCACACAGAGCAAGGCACAAAAGCCAACAGCTTTGTGCCCACCAACGCTGACTGCAATGTCACACTGAGACATTCAGCACTGGAGAAGGGTCAGGTTTCCAAAGTCTGAGGAAAGTTTAGCTGTTGCTCCTTCATTGTTTACTCTAGATTTAAGATGACTGGGACTAATGGCAACAGTTGGTGCAATGTGGAAGGGTTAAAACTGATTTTAAATTGATAATCAACGGGCAAACTTTTAGTATTTTCTTCTGCTTATGGACTATCTAAAATACACATGGAAGAGGCCTTATTTTTGTCATGCTTACAACAGTATCAAACAAGAGAAAGCAATTAGGATCAAAAGTGTTTGATCCTAGTTTTGTAATGCAAGGGTTATTCCTATCTTCCTATTATTCTGATCATGTGTTTTACATGACCACAGAATATAAGGTTTGGCACCTTGTTTAAGTTTTAATAATATCTGAGTTGTATCATCCACTTCACTGCACTTCCAGTGTTAACCTGATGTCAATCCAAAGCCTTAGCCTCAAGAATTTAATTGAAAAGGAGAAGTTTTCATGCAGCCAACATTCACAGATGCAGTAACATGACTTTTGAGAAACACTAAAAAGAGTTTTCTTTTTTTAAAATTACTGTTGCTGCTTTCTTTGTATATGTTTTGCGAATTAAATTTTGCTGGAGCTTTTGTCACTGATCTTAAAGGACACATGAAACAATACAAAACCAAAAAAGCAATCCTAACTATACATTGACACAGAAGACACACTGTCCTTGGAGTGTCCCATAGGCTGCAGGTCTAAAACTGGTCCTAGGATTTATTACCTTTTTTCCTGCTCACTCAAGGTTTGGCATCATTTCTCTGGCCAGTGCCAGAGAAATGTGCCAGTGCAACTCACTGCCCAGTGGTGCTATTGGTGGGTCTGTAGTGAATGGCACCATACAACTGCATGGGCCTCCTGGACACAGGAGGTGCCACTACATCACACAGACAGTATAAATCTACAATTATTGCTGATTGGCTTTTTAAAAAAGCATCCTTTATGGACAGATATTTTTGACCAATCATTCATACAAAAGTGCTAGGATTTTAGATGGAATTTTAATATTGATTGGTTTTTGTGACTTGCATCTTGTCATATCTCATCTCTCATTCTGCTCCACCAAGCACCAGAATCACATGGACGACGCTATCTGTCCTGGACCTTTGGCCCACAGTGACAGGTCAAACACACCTGAATAGGCTTCACTTACACAGCTAAACATCAGGTCAGGCAAGAAATGGACACCAGCTCAAGAAGAAAGAGTGCACATCTGTACAAAACAAAGAACTGCAAAAGCAAGTTTGTTTTCATCACTGTTTAGAAATTGTTTCACTCACCCATTTCCTTGTCTTCTCGAACTCTTCTCCTTTCATTTTCACACGCCTCCATCCATCTCTTTTTATCCTCCTGTTTTTTTGCACAGAACAAATGAACCTCCTCTGTTGTTCTGTTTATTATCTTAAAAGCATTCTTGACATTGATGTTAAAATCTTTGTCTCTGCCATCTTCGGTGTCCACAATTTCTGTCTCATCCATGTCAATACGATCCTTGTAATACAAAATGTCCCTTCTCAGCAAGTCCTTCTTACAGAACACAAGCTGATGGTCAAAAAGGAAGAAAGTCCTCTGCTGGCTTTTGCCTTGTTTTGATATTTTGGTCAGTTCTCCTGAGTGGATCAGTTCTGAGCTTCTGGCTAACACATCTGGTCCCTAGGAAGACAGGTATATAGACATATAGAGATATGTAGTAAGTAAATAATATTTTAAGATCTCAGTGTGTGTCTAACCAGTCTCACTATATAATCAAATCTTAAGTTCACTCGCTTTTCTTGTATTTTTATTATTAGATTTGAAAATGTCATACAATGTAAATAATATCACAGAGGTAAATTCAATCAATGTGGTACTGCATAAACAGAGGGAAACATTTAAGTCAGTGAAACAGGTTCCCATTCTGACAGAACTACCAGACTTCCAAATGAGATTCAACATTTTTAAAAGCTCCATTTTGTCACCTCATCTCAAAGGCAAGTGTCCATGTTACATACTGCTCCTCCTGAACTATAAACAAGGTTAATCAGTAACAGAAACATTGTAAATGAAGCAATTGGACTTTTAACTGAGCAATGACCACTTGAAAAGTAGGCACCATAAACAAGCACCTACGCAGAAAGACTCCTGCAGGGGACATCAGGTATTGTACACAGTACCTTTGCCCAGGAAAGGCACAGGCTGTCACTCACCTCCCAGTCTACGATAGAGACTTGCCAACGGGCAATCTTGTCTATGCTTTCTAGTCTCCGTTTTCGCTCGTTGATCAGGCATGCCACGTTCTTCATGGCCTCATATGCAGCTTTTATGTTGCTGTAATCACTGGGAAATGTAAGCACATTTCAAGGATCACTTATACAATGGACATGATGCAATCACAAACCATGGAAATTTTGCAACCACAGTGCCTGCAGTATTAGCCCACATTACCCCCTTATCCATCTACTCAGGTACTTAAAAAAGAGGAACCTGATTCCTGCTATCCCAAACCCCACACAGCAGCCTGTACAATTCAGCGCTGCTGTACTGCTGGGCTTGTCTAGGAGCAAGTTACTAGATTGGTGCAAGGAGGCAGAAGTGATCAATTAATGAACTGCAACACTGTCTCTACTGAAAACAATGGCAGAACTCCCACTGAGCTCAGTGATGGCTGTATTTCACCTAAGAACTGTGTCTTCTAGCAAGATTTTAGTGGGACTTTTTGGGAAGGGCAGTCTTTTGACCATGTTTAACAACTGTATTTTTTCCTTCTTGATCCCAATGAACACAAATGGGGAATGCTAGGTGGACAGGAAAAAAAACCAAAATCAATCCCACATGAGAGGAACCCAAGTACAAGGGCCCCAGAGAGAGGAATTAAAGGAGACAATATGAAGAAAGCATCCTGTTTCTACAGGACAAATGTGTGAAAGCCATGATGGTCACCTGCCTCTTCCTGCTTCAGGACTAATGCAATTAACCCAGGCCAATCCTCCTGTCCTTCTTGCAATGCTCTGCTCCCCTCCTTCTTTCCTGAGAACTCAACATGTGTATGAACCTCCCCAAGTTTGCAGGCAGGCTTCTTTTTTCCCTCTGAATAGCATCCATCTCTCCTTCACCTTCATCAAATGGAGTCTCTCAGAAGAGGGAGAAGGGAAGAGACATATTTCTTGCTAAAGGAATCCCAGCAGAGCAGCTGCTTTTCCTCTTTTATCAGAATGCCTCTTGCAGAAAAGGGAGCCAGAGACAGAAAACAGCACGAACCAGAAATAAATCCTGCCAAGGCGTTAGCCTTGCTGTCCTTTTTATCTGCTTCTGTCTCAGTTCCAGTTTTCATTGGCTGCTGCTGATGGATGTGCTTTCCTTCTGAATGTGTGCATTCTTTCCTTTCTTTATTTACATCTGTGGGAACTCTATTCTGCCACACTGAATACAGAAAGTGAGATTAACAATAACAGGATCCTACTAACGCCAGGGAGATGTCCCACAGGGTGACCACATGATATCCATACTGCTACACTTGCCCTTCCTTATCTCAGCTCCTTTTTTCTTTGTTGGTATTTATTCCACACTTGCTACACAACTTGTGGCCTTCACAGCAGGCTGTGCATACTGGAACTTCAAATTTTTTATGAAAACAAAATGCTACCAAAATCCCCAGCTGGCTGGAGCTTTCCTAAGGCTCCATGTGGGTGTAGATCTGCCTGTTTGTGAGCATCTGTGCACAGTGGGCGTCTCTCTGTGCTTGAAGGCATCTCTGGGTGCTGTGTCACACAAGAGGAAAATAGGTACTGCGGGAGGAAGGTGGCGAGACCTTGCTGTCACTTTATCTGCAGGTTTAATAGCTCACAGAATAACTTTTCTAAAATTAGTAGCAGTGAAAGAGAAACTCTAGTTAGTGATTCTTATTGCAGCACTTCCCAGGTAGTCACAGAACTGAATAGAGGCATTTCACATCTAAACAGTCAGTGCTTCACAGACCTCATATATTGCCTCTGGCAAAAATCCAGTGGTCTCCAAGGGGAGTTTTCTCAAGGTTAAAGTACTGACTTTCGCCAAGGAAACATTGCCTCAGGCTTCATTTGGACTTTGAGCACAGGGGTCACAATGGAATACTTTCTTGCAATTATACAAGATAAAAAGACTCTTAGAGATAAAATCTTAATTTAGTCAAAGATTGAATCAGTGCAGGGGTATACTGGAAAGGCCATCTGCAACTTCAATTTTTCTTTATGCCAGCTGAAAATCTAGTGTCTGGACTTTACTGCAAACTAAGGTAATGTTTATTACTACTAAGCTTCTAAAACAAATTACCTCCAAACTTATTCAGGTTGTAGTTATTTTCTAAGGCACTCTTCACTTTTTCTTACATCCACATCTTTTATGAGTCTTCCCCTCTTCAGATTTCTTTCTCCTTGATTTCTGGCCTTTTTTTTTCACTCTGAATAACACATTCCTCCCTGCATCCTGTTTACACACCATCTCCTTCTCCTTCTTCTTCTCCCTCTTTGACTTATTCCTCATTATGTCATGCATCCTCTCAGTCCCCTGTGCTGCACTTTCAGATACTGTTTTGGTGACTGACTGTGATGGTTCCAAAAAGCCCCGTTTATCATGGTCCATGGCAGTTTTGTTCCTGATCTCAAAACCTTCAGTGTTGTGTCACCCAGAAAACCTGAGTAATTAGGTGTCACTACTATTACAGAATTTGTTATGTTCATTCTCTCACCTGTGCTCCTGAGTGGTGTATTTGAGCAATTCTGCAAGCTGCAGAGGGTACTTGCAGATTTTCTGAACAGGCGTAAGAAGAAAACCGTCAATGGCAATGTCAATCATCTGCTGAAGCAAGCGACAGGCCTCGAAGAAGTGGCGGTATTTGCCCTGCTTCATCAGTCTGGAGAGTTCAATGCAGGCACTGGGATGGTTGTTACAATACTCTGAATAAATAGCAAAGCCTTCTTGCTGTTAAAGAAAACAAAGGTACAACTTTACTAAAGTATTTGTCTATAAAGGAGAAAAGCAATTTTTGTAATATCTGTTATATATAATTAGATTAGGTAATCCATTTTCTATATTGCTTCCAGGCTGATCAGCCTTGAAAGTATGCAGAAATCTACTTTGCAGCTGTCAAAACCATGTACCCTTCTTTGTCAGAACACAGAAATAAAGGTCTCTTCTTGAGTCAGGATAATCAAACTCACTTTAAGAAGTATTTTTCTTTGGGGAAGACAGCTATAGGCTTACAAGTCTCTATCAAGAACTCACAGCCTATCTCCCCATTACCTACCTTTCTTAATGTCTGTATGAAGTTTCTGCTTGCTGAATATGAGATCACTGCAAACAATCCAGCCCATCTGTGATCATTAGAGTTTCAACAAAGAAACTTAAAACTGTTTACAAAATAACATGATTGCTAAAGATGAGGAGAAATCTAAAACAAATGTATAATTAATTCCAAGTTAGTTTACCTTCTAAAAGGCTGCCAATTTATTATTTAAGAAGCGCTTGTTAGTAAAATCCCCTCCTAGTACGGTAACTTGGCTTTTTATTATCATATTTTGGTAATTTCATAAATAAAATCAACTTTTTTAACCTACATGTTGAAGAAAACATGACCCTATTTCACTTAGATGAGGTTCTTCTTTGTTGTACTGTTTCTCAAGATCCTTCAGAAACTTCCTTTGGAACTTGTAAATATCTTCAATATTTCCAAAAATGGTGCTTAGCTGAGCTGTGGTGAACATTCCTGTATGTTTGCGACACTGCCGAATGTAACCCTGAAATGAAATAAAAAACACTCCTTAGTCCAAGGATGTGAGACAGGTCCTACCCTGAACAAAATCATTTGAGCTGCCAAGGCCCCCACGGTCTCCAGGCAAGGGAGTGGTTTTCTAGACACACACACCCAGAAGTTCAGATTTGCACCTGAGATGTTCACATGTGGATTCCTGGCGTCCAGCCCCTGTCTCAGGGTACCCCAAGCAAAGCAGGGAACCTCCCAAGTGTAAAGCCCACCTGCATCTCTCTGTTGGCAATGCACTGCAGAGACTGGACCCCCAGAAGAGCTGCTGTGCTCACAGTCTCACAGCAGTTACAGGGCTCAGGGAGTGCAAAGGTTAACTGATGGGATAGGGGCTATCTGCCAGGCTCCTCCATTTGGCTGCTGGCAGGCAGGCCTCCCGCAAACAGCCTTGGGAGCAGACGGCTGAAATAGCCTTGCAGTTGCTCTGGTGAGGTTTACCAGGAAGTAACACTGACTGTTGCTGGCACTGTTAGCAATATTCCTGTCTCCTCCACAGCCATCTGCTCTGAGAGCTGTGCAGTGGCTACGCTGCGAGCCAGCTACCGCATTTCCTATTGCACCAACACGGAAAGCTAATTCCTGTGCGGCTCCTGTAATGTGGACTGCAGACACTTCTTGACACTTCATGTTTTATGGGTACACTTTAGCTTCATGATCCTGGCTACAACCAGCTTGAGTGATTCATACAAGGGCTGAGCTTGCAAATTTGGGTTACTATCTGTGTAGCTTTTCTGGCTTAGTCTTACTTGAGTGTATTTTCAGCCTTATGTGCTACGTGCACTACCCTACAGATTGACTCTGAGGACAGTAGAGTATCTCTACCCCACAGGTTAAGCGTGGCCCATTGCTTCTCTTCTTGGAAAATGTATGCTTGCTCTCTTGTACTAAACTCACAAGCTTGCCAGATATTAAAAACCAGGTATAGGATATACGTATTAGAGAAAATTAATTAATTAATATTTGCCTAAGACTTAACAGGTCAGTAAAATATGAGAGTCATGTCCTAGGACTCAGCTAGCCATGGCAGCAGCATAGCAGAGTGTACAAATTTTTCCCTGGTCTTTCATGAACACAATCTAGCTTAAGTAAATAATGAATATAAATAACAAAATTTACATTTAATGTTTTAAAATTAGCCAGCTGGTAACCAATTTTTGTCCTTTCTCTCCTTTTTTTCTCTCTTCAAGAAAAGGGCCTGATCTAAAAATGGAAAGGAAAAAAAAAAAAGAACAAATAAAAACCTACCCATGCCTTGTCTACTTTGCTGTGAATTAAATGATCTAATGGTAAGTGGTGGACTAAAGGATGACAGCATGACAAATACAAGGACGGACCTAGCAAACTAAGGCTACTAAGAATATTTTTGTAGGTTGCTTAGCACCATTCCAGATGCAAACCTCAAAGACAAGTCAAATACAGGTCAAATGCATCATAACTCATATCAGAAGAGGCAAACTTCAGTGAAAAGTATTAAGAAGCTTCTTGCCCAAGTGTGAACCTCCAACAAATATTGAGAAAAAAAGCAGAAGACCACCCTCATTTTATGGTTCAAACAAGTAAGGCAGATCTAAAACACATTTAGATTTCTTCATAACTCCTAGGCATCCAGTAAAAATCCCCTCACTTGAGAAAACGGGGGGATAAACCATTTATCAAATACTCTTTCTAAGTTACTTCCAAGAAGTTTTGTCACTGAACTGCAAATTATTTTACTACAGTTACCCAAAGTTCTCTATACAGTGGCAAAAAGCTCTAAATAAACTGGACTTCCTTCTCTCATTTATTATAGAAATAGCAGTCAGAGGGGCACTTATTTGCTTTCAAAAATGGAAGTTTTTTAAAAGAAAGGAAGCAATGGCTCATGGCAGTCATCAGAGAGGAAAGTCGTAAGAGGAAACGAAGAATTGGACTGACAGCGTCAGAAGCGCAATTGGGAGTATTTTGAAATAAGAAACCACTGTGGTTCTCAACTTATATGGAATGATTTGTTCTCATTAGGTCAGTAGAACGTCCTTAGGTTAAAGCATGTACCTCACAGATGTCCTTGAGATGCTTGATATAGACTCGTTCTGTTTTCATAATTTCCTGTATAACGTTGGTTCTCATCTGATCCCTGTTTTCAGCTATTTTCTGGCGATGCTTGCTAGTATCTGAATCTTGTTCTTCGTCTTGGATATTACTACAATTTTCTGGCACTTCTTCCTGATTAACTCGCAGCTGCAGCCAGAACAAACAAAGCAATTAGAGTGAAGCAGAAAGTTTTACAATGTGTGGTAAAACTGTTATAAACTTCTTATACCTAAGAGAAGAGTGGGTACAGACATGTTCTCATTCTTATCTTACAGAGGGGGCTTCACAACAGGATTTATCTCATTGTACTCACTGCATATTCAAATAAAGGGTTGGGATTTCTGTCTGGTTAAATACATGACTTCTACTCACAGTATTTGAGAGAGACCATTGTGCTGTCCATGTTGTTTTCAGAGTTAAGCTTATTTCTGACCCTTACCCATACCCAATAGTTAATGTGTTTGGCCAAGTTAGCATAGGGTAAAAATTACAAAAGCAGACACTCAACCACTTTTAAATAGTTTCCCTGTGCCCCATCTGTATGGCGTACACAGCAGCACCTCCTTTTCTCACTTCTCTCTGATTGCCCAGGTTGCCTAGAGATCTAGGAAAGGGAAAGGGAGCAACCACCTGCTGCACTTTGTGTATGTAGTACTTCATGCAGTGCAGTCCAAGTTTCACTACAGGTTATCAAAAGGCAGTTCAAATTATTTTCTAAAATATATTTCAATTTTTTACTATCTGAGAGTTGCACTGGTATTAATCTGGGTGAGTTCTGACTGTGGAGTTCAGACTGTGAACCAGATTTCTACACAATGTCCTTGATAATAAATTAAGCCCTTGATAATAAATTAAACCCTATTTCACCATGAAATCCCTGCTGCACAGCTCTCCCCTGCCCTTATGAGAACTGTTGTGTCCTTTCTGTGTACACTGATGACTTTCTGGTTGAGCTTTCTGCTCTTGTAATCTCTGTTTGAGAAAGCTGTTTGGTTACAAAGAGACCAAATGAAGAAGACAGAGTAAAAGTTGTCAGGGAAGCTAAGGGATGTGATCTCTACTGCCTTTTTCCTTGTGAACTCCTTAGGGGTTATGCCACTGAGGTTCAGCTGTAAACATGATGAGGATCAGGTATGAAATGTAATGCCATGACAACTGTTGCACTCTGCTAGGAATCTTGCAATGGTGCAAAAGCAAGAAGCAAAAGAGTTACTCACCCTGACAAAGCTAGCTGGAAACCAGGCCTCCTTGTCCTCATTTCTTCCCCACCACCAGTCTTTGTTGGAAGCTTCTAGAACTCTAATGACATCTCCAGCTTTGAAGCCCAGCTCTTGATCATCCATAGTGACATGGTCCCAGAGAGCCTCTGCATAGACGACGGTGCCATCGCTTATCAGCTAAGATAGGAAGAAAATGAGATTGCAAAGGACAGGAGATAAACTATGAAGTGTTTATAAACTACAAAGATATCAATATAGGTCACTAGATTGCTTACTATTACTCCTGTTACAGGATAAAACTAAAATTTCAGATTTTCAGAAATCTCCGCATATTCTCATTCGTGAAAACAATTAGAATCCTGCTCCAGAGTAGGATTATATAGGGTAACAGTTACAGTCTGTGACAGTTTAAAACCCAGAGGGAAAATTAAACCCACTCAAATTGTCCCCTTTCCCCCACTCCCTTCCTGGAAACACTAGGAGAAGTTATAGAAGGAATCACAATTTACTGAAAAACTGCAATAATCATAATAATGCTAGTAAAAGAGTGTACAAAACAAAGTTTTACCCACAAAATGGTATTTACCACTGAGCAAACAAAAGTCCCTCCCAAAGAAACTAGCTACTGCCATTGGATATTTTATGACTATGAAATCTCAGACTATGGAAAACATCCCTCCACATCCCCCACCCCTGTCCCTGCCCTCCCTGTGTCATCATTCCAGCAATGCAAAGCCCCGGACATTACCTCATTAATTGCTAGCTGTTCCCCTCCGGGCTGCAGGTACCTGGGAGCAGCTTGGCAGAGCTCCTCATAGCTGTAATCTTCCTCACTGCCATTGTCATCCACTAAGGCTGAAGATTCAGTCCCACCATCTGCAGCAACTAAAAACAAAAGTGCAACAGCTGTTGGCTTCATCATTTTATGATTCAAAGAAAGACAACAATGAAAGAGGAATTGCTGAGAAATCGCCTTTGTTGTCACAAATGAAACAGTAACAGCAGGAGTGGAGGGTAGCAGAGCTCTCAGGAAAAGCACCTTTCCGTCATTAAATATGTTTTACTCATTTTTAGAATTTCACATTTAGCAGCTGATTAAACTTTTGTACACAAAAAACACATAACTACAACAATTCCTTACTTATTTGTTATCAGTAAACCTTAAATGGCCAGTATCAGAAGGAAAGCCTCCGATGCCATTTCCCAGGCAGCAGATGTGAGAGCCCCAGCAGTCCCCAGCAGTGGTGGGGAGGACACTGTCAGACTCAGGCTGGGTGCCCTCACACTGTCACATCCCCTGCAGGGACACAAGGACCCAATGGTTCTGTGCCCACCCATGGGAGGGGTGGGCAGCCTGTGTGCAGCCCCAGCTCTGTGCATGAACTGGGGAGGCTCTGCCAGCAGCAAGGCTCAAGGGGACATGGAGCCCAGACAGGGCATGGTGGAATGGCCCTACAAAAAACCTGTTCCCATTTTTCCAAATCACAACAGTTTCTTGGTTTGACAATTGTACATTTTCTGACCAAGGAGGCAGCTTTGTATGGAAAGAGAGGTCAGGACTAAAATGGGTTTCCTCTTATTACACAGCCACATAAGAAACACTCTTACTGTATAAAACTATAAAACTCCTTTGGGGTACACCACTGGGTGACAGATTCTTTTGGTGATCACCACTGGCAGAGGAAGAGAACTGGGGGCTGACCTCAGGAACAAGTCTGACTGACTGACACCCAACTGCTCAGTGCTGGACCCTGTCCAAGTGGGTTTGCCTCTGAAAGCTGCCTGTAATGTTCAAAGCACCCAGGATCAAGAAGAATTCATGACCAGTGGCCCCATACTTGAGTGCACTCTCTGGTCCTTGTTCATTTAGTCCTAAAGATTTATTCTTATGGCAAGCCCAAGCTGTGAACTAGAGTCTGAAGATCATACAATGCTCAAAAACGCATTTAAAAGTAAACAGTCAAATTCAGAATAGGTTGCTAGCCCTGAACTTCTTTGTAAAAGGTTAGCATCTCCCAGGTAAGTTGCCACACAGTCAACAGAGCAGCTCTTACTTCTGAGTGCCTGGGAAGGGACATTTAAGCAGAATTATTGAACCTGCCAATTCCAACAAGCAGCAAGGCTAAGCAGCAGGATCCTGACACTGCCTCTTCTCTACTCTGCTTCAGACCTGGGCACTGCCTGTCTGCTGAGCTCTGGATGAGTAAGAGCTGCAAGGAGACAACTCCAGGCTTTACTCCATGCACCTACTACCACCAGGCAACCTGCTGCCATCTGCTATTTACCTTATCGGGAGAAATATTGCAACCCCCTCCTCAGGGCACACATATCATCACCAGCATCTTCACTCATCTGAGCATTAATTTGCCAGAGAGATCAAAGCAGATCACCACACAGATTCAATTAAAAACTTACAAATTTTTTTTCCATTAAAAATGGAAAAATATGGCATAGTCTTGATACAAGAGAACATGGCTATTCTGTTCTACTCCCTAGCATTTTAAATAGACATTCACATTAACAGTATCATCTTCTTAAGCAAGAAGGATGCAGAACCCCTATTTAGAAAAATCAAGACTTTTTCTCCCATACAAACTCATTAATCTGAGCACTGATGAACTTTTAAAACACATCTTGCAAAATTTACCGAGAATGCTTTATCAAAAGATCTGCAAATAAATATTTCATTAAATCAATTTTTATCTTACAAAGCAACATCCAAATAATTTATCCCAGTGATCCTTTCCACATTTCCACTGCACTATCCGTACTGCCTGTGGGGTTGTTCCAGCAATAATGGCACATCAAAATAACCTAATTCATTTGACTCCAGACAAAAAAGAACTACAAAATAACCTAATTCATTTGACTCCAGACAAAAAAGAACTACAATTTTGGGACAGAAAGCTGTTTGTTACTCTGTACCAAATCAACAAGCTTACATTAACTTTGTTGGGTAGAATCAAGTGAAATCTTGAATTCTGCATCTTTTCCTCTATTGTATACAGACAGAAATACAGAGGGAGGGGTGTGCTTTCCCAGTTGCACCAATGGGATGCAAAAAACTTAAGACAGCCTGGAAGTGACGCCGATCTTCTAGCACCTTTTCACCGGTACTGCAGTTCCCATGGATGACACAGAGTAAGTGTCATCAGAATCAGGCCCCCCGACTGCCACTGCTTACCAGTTAGATCAAAAAACACCATGAAAAAAGCAAGAGCGAGCATGCTCTACTCACACGTACCCATCTGAAGGCTCTCCAGACTCCAAAATCGTGCCATTGCCCCCCTGGCTACCATGCTGCCGTCAGCCCTCTAACAGGTGATGCTGCTCACTCCTACAGGGAGGGCTGCTGGAGGATCACAAGAGGCTCTGAGCTGCGCACAGCTCAGAGGAACAGGCTGTCAGCTGCCTTCAGCTCCCAGCAGTGCCTCCGAGGCCGAGCCCGGCTGGGAACTGCCAGCAGCGCACTCAGCGCTCAGCCTGGCTGCGCGAGCTCCCGGCTCTCTGACATCATGGGGTGCCCTTAGGGAGGAAGTTCCAGAAAAGAAACAAAAACCCGGCTGCCTGGCCCTGGCCGCGCTGCGCCTGCAGCCGCCCAGACCGCTCCCACAGAGCCTGAACATCCGAACACGGCGAGCCAGGGAGTGCGTTTGTTTTTCATTAAAGCAGCTAAACGCGATTTCAATCTATATTCAAATGACTGCAATCCAGAGGGAGAGACTATTTGGATAGGAATTGGGAGTTCCTTGTATTACAACACTGTTCAGAGTATCGGTCTATCTTTGTCATACTATACCAGTTAAAATTCCAGAAGAAGTAAACAATTAAGGTATTTTTTGCACAATTTCTCTTGCTTCACAGGCAAATGCTGTAACATTTTTTAGGGCACAAGCAACACAAGTGTTAAGGCTGCAGCAGACTGCTCCCAGGAAAACAGAGAGGAGGGAGACATTTTCCCACTGAAACTACAAACTTAATTCAGCTGCTCTATGAAACAGGGAATGAAGCAGGAAGGAACTGAAACCATCCATCTTTCTCTGGGTCTGACCCAGCCAGACCACAACCTCATTCATTCACCATGGGCCAGCATTCACCCCACATCTGTGTCCTCCCTCACTGAAGCTGGATCAGGTCATGCACTGGAAGCAAAGGCAGGAGCTGTTCCCGTCCGGAGAGTGCAAAGCCTGCTGCAACCTATGTCTGTACACAGCGCTACACCTACAGTTTGGAAAGCCCCAAAAACTTATTGGCTTCTCCTTTAGCTGAAAACTGTTGCTCAGCTGAGCCTATCCTGTAACTGGGGACTGCCTCCTCCAGGGATGTGTTCACAAAACCCTGGAGGCATTTCTGCATACAGCAACTTCTCAACACCCACTAAAATCACATGGTTTTCCCCAGCACTGCCTCAGACATAGAAGGAAAGGCCAAACATCACCCTGAAATATTAATGCTGTCTTTCTGCAAAAATCCTATTTTGCTGCACTCCACAGGAGACTGACAGAAATCATTTTCTGAATCTCTCAAACTTCCCTATTATTTCTTGCTGCAAGGACTCTACTTGGATGGCTCAATAAAAACAAGCTACTACATAAGATCTTCACACACAGCATTTTTCTTGGCATAAACCATTAAAAAAAAAGCAAGCTGGCAAACAAAAGGGACAGTAGTGTCACTGAAGTGCTGATGATCCCGGGACTCGCAAGTGAAAATTTTGCATCTTTAATCAGCCACATCACAAGATCTTTGCCATGTCAGACCCCTTCCCATCGGGGAAAAACAGTTCAGCTGCCAAAGGAAAACCAGATCAAACCCCACACAGCTCTTTTACAAGACACTAAAAAAACAACCTCTGAAAAACAACTCAAAACTCTTTTGGTCTGATTTTTGCAGAAAGGAACAGGCTGTGTGCTTTTGCCCAATGACTAACCCAATGCCACTGTGGGATGCTGCTTGGATGGAGGGGGGCCTGCCCTCCCTCCTCTGCATGGGCACATCTGGCAAACTGAACCACCACAAAAGTGCTCATTTGGGGCGAGGTGGTGGTGGCTTCATTTCCTTGTAGATCAGCCAGGGACAGGAGGAGGCACAGGCTGTCCTTTGAAGTGGCAGTCCACAGTGACCTTGCCCAAATGCATGCTGAGCTGGCTTAGCCATTGGGCAGGGCACTCTGAAAAGACTGTGGGTAGCACTTACTAAAATACTAAAAGCTAGTTTATCCACCTCAAGAAAATTCAGTTCTAGAAACACCCTGGTATCATAGAACCCTCCATCCTGAGCCAGACCACAGGTCACCCCCAACCACTTCTCTGACAGCAGCCAGGGAGGAACATAAAAATAGATGAGGCGTGTGATGGCATTTTTCTGATGTACTTTTCTAAATTCCAGTTATCTTCCAGATCAGTCAGATCCCTCCTGGGGCAGAAATTATATCCTTATATTTAATGAACTGGATTTTTCAAACCACTTTCTGATTTTTTTAAACTGTTGGGATGTGAAATACAATGTGTAGCAATTACTTTTATAGTTTAATTTTACAGACTGCGAAAACTATCTTTTATTTTGAGCTTGCTCTCTGGTGATTTCATTTGGTGCCCTTTAGTTCTTAAATTACTGGAAACAATAACTATTATCTGTTCATTTTGCCTGTGCCAAACAGACTTTTATTCTCCTATTGTCCTTTTTTCCATGTTCCAGAGCCCAAGCCACATTAATCACTCCTCCCAGAGACACACACTGAGTCGATTTTCTTGTCCTTCTGCTTTTCTCTATATTGTCCCCTGTAAAAAATGCCTTTTGGGATGGAAAGGAACGGGGAGATGGCCCCCACACACACCAGTGGCACAATTGGGCCTTCTGTTTTGTTCTCTATTCATTTCCTACAAACTCCTGCTCTTTTATTTACTGTTTTGACTGTTACTATGCACTGCACTGACTCTGTAAATGTCTGTTAAGATTGCAAGATCTTTTCCTGAATGGCAATATCCAGCTCAAAGTCTATCCTTCTGTAAGCACATCAGGCTCTTTTCCTCCTCCACATGCATTACCTTGGCTTTACCAACACCTGAAGCCAGAGCAGTGCCTCATGTCTCACTTCTACTACTGTGAATAATTCAGCACACCAGCAAGAATTACCATTTCATTTTATACCTCCCTTGCCACATCATTTGTGCAGACACTGAACATCTGATTCCACTCATCAGCTCTCTTTAAGAAAACCAACCATTCTCCTGAGTCATTCCCAAGCTGTGCTCCACACAGCCCAAATTCTAGTCCCACCCAAAAATATGCAAAAAAAAGGGGGTTAGTTTTTCAGAGGCTTATAAAAATTACTCTGTAGTGACAAATAGGCAACCTGTTTAATGTAATTTAAACCCTTCAAGCACAAAAGTAGCAATGCAAGTCTCAAGGGCAGTTTCCTGTGTGTTGTCTGATTCTTACTCTCTTTCCTACAGATGATGATTTACTGTCTTGTACCATCTATTTTTCTAAAATTTTATATCTCCACTTTTATCTGCCATTGCTTTAAGAAGAAAGCAAGTAATTTATTAGGCTTTAGCAAGTAACTAAAATAAGATACCACTGGTTTTCAGTGCTTGAGTTTAGAATTACTTTCTATAATAAAGGGCTTTTGTGCTATCAAATTTCACTGTGCATGAGCAAACAAAAAACTCTCACATGTTCAAAGACAAGGAAGTGCCTTGTGATTTAAGAGAAAAAAGAAAAGGGATCAGAATTTGTGACACTAGTCACTTTAGTATTTTCTTCTGGAGCTACCAAACAGATTTTTTGCAACTGCTCTCAAACTGTGAAGTCCATGATATTCCACACTTGCCTTCAGAGTTTTGATTTCAGAGACTTTTCCTGCTCCACTTCTATGTTTATTGTAAGGTCTCATAAAAGTCACATCTAACATAATCAAGGTTGCTTTGGCTTAATTGTCCTGAAAAGTGGCAGCAATCTTTGTTTGTGTATTTGTCATCCTGATGCTTAAGTTCAGGAGACTGGTTATTCAAAACCTAAATACCTGGGGAGATATTGCTCTCAGGCAGTAGTCTAGGTAACTAATACTATTTTATGTGGTTTCCAAACATCAACTGGAAAGGACAACTCAAAATAGAAAAAATAATTCCTGCTCCGTGATAATAAAAGAGCCTCTTTTTTCACAAACTACATTATGGAAGACCTGTTATTCTGTGAGTGGTCCTTCTGGAATCAGGGACTGAGACACCACAGAATCTCGGCAAGAGTCACAGCATTCGATATCCAATTTACCTCAGTGCCTGATCTTGATCATTAAGTGTACTAAGAAGCATACAGCAGAACATACTCCAGACATAGGTTTTAAAGTAGTTCCCAGTATTTTACTACAATATAAATTCAAGGAAAACACAAATGGAGTATATATAATTGTCCTGGTTTGAGAGAAGAGGGGGTGGAGCTTTTAGCACTGTTTATTCCATACCACCCACATCATTGCTGGGGGCGTGGTTTTGGCAGGAATAGCCGAGCACTGGAAACCGAAGTTTGCCATTTTGCTGGATCTCTCCAGGGAGAAGGTACTGGAATCAGCCAAGTGGATCCAGCCCCTCTCCCTCCCCATCGCTTCAGGTCGCAGCTTTAAAACATGGTGCTGAAGGACAGCAACGATGGGTCTGAGACGCCACTCCAAGGGAACAAAAAGTAAGAGAGAGAGGCAGCGGCACAGAGCCGAGCCCAGCTGAGCTACACAGAGCCCAAGCTCCAGGAGAGCCCAACTGGAGCAGCATCACTGCCAGAGGCAGCTTTGCAGAATGGAACCAGCAAAGCAGAGGTCTGAGGCAGCGCCGTGGCACAACGCGATGATCGCGCTTCCAAGGGTTTGCTTGCCCTACTCCTTAGCTGTTGGCCGACTGCAGTGAGGGAGAACATTAAGTAGCGGAAGCTCTCTTTGACATATTGCCTTTGTATCCCAAATACCACATGCCCCACAGGCAGGAACAGTAATTATACTGCCTTTGTGTGGAGACCACAGCAGGCAATGTCTTCAGGAAGATCTGGAGTTTTTTTCACAGTGGTAAATGCCATTTTTTGTGGGTAGGGCACCCTCTTTTTGCATACTTTTTACTATTGATGATGCTGTTGTCATTGCAATTTTAGTAAATTGTCATCTTGTTCTCTCCAAAGGGGCAGGGGGAAAGGGAGTGGCTTATTTGGAGGTTAGTTCCCTAAACCTGCTGTCTAAACCAGCACAATAATGTATCTCAGAATCACAGACTATTCTGAGTTGGAAGGGACCCGCTAAGATCATCAAGTCCAACCCTTAAGTGAATGGCCCATAAGGGGATCAAACCCACAGCCTAGGCATTATCAACACCATGTTCCAACAAACTGAGCTCATCTTATTGGGTATGTCCCTCTTACTGCCATAGTTAGAAATTCTCAAGTCTGCTTCTTGAAGAGCACCTCCTGAAAAAAACTGTCATGTTCTATTTAAAACAGGAGAATTCAGTTTTAACACATTCTTATGTAAACTAATTTGTAGTTAAAGCATTTTTGGTACAATTTGGACATCTCTGCAGCTAAAACTTAGCTAAGAACCATAGAAGCCAAGTACTGATTTGTAAACATACACAAGTCAGTAATTTTAATAAATTTTAATAAACATTGAAAATGCTATTTGTTAAGGTTCCTACTTCAGTCATGGGAAGCCTTGATCAAGAACCTTCAGGGTGAAGGTTCCCAACAGTGTTTTGTTCACTATTAACAGTGAAAGACACAAAGTGAGAATTTTGCTTTTATTTACAAATCTTGCCAGAAGGAAAACAAATGGTGTTAACCCAGGTTGTTCTGGACCCACCTGTGAAGAAATGTTCCACTACATCTAGACTAGTTAATAGACTATTTCTATTAACTCCAGATAGCATTCCATGCTAAGAGTAAACAATTACAGCAAAATTACACAGGACATATCAGCGAGCCTGTTAAAGCACAGTGCTTCCAAAAAAGGCAATTTTTACCAAGAACCTGTCCCTCATGTACCAGAGTTCTGGTTGGATTACACTCATCAGCAAGCCACTTACTGACTTAAGGCTTGCCTATTTAAGTAAAGCTGAATGCATGGCAAACAAAAAATTAAAAATACATGTGTGGTGTGGCTAGGGTTCAGGTATGAACTCAAGCATATTAGAACTTACTTCCTTCATAATCTCTTGACTTTAGGCAAGTATATGACTAAGAGAGCGGAGAATACAGGCAAGTAAGTGGTAGAGAACAATAAACCATAGCAATGTCAAAGAGTAAATGTGAAAAAAATGTTTTACATGAGAACAGCAGCTACTAGTAAGAAACTCACAAAACAAAGCAACTTAGCTGGGTACAACTTTGTCACTGAATTGCTGTGCACTCTTTTGTCTTCCACATTATATTCTAATTCTTGCTTAGCCTGGAGTGTGGCTTTCTGATCTACACAGTTAAAAATACTCATCTTACCATTAGATGTTCTCATCTGCCGCCGCCGTCCCACGCGGTCCAGACCGATGGGGGTACTTTGTGAGAAGGTGAGCGGCCGGAACCTGGCTGAAACAGCCTTGTACGGGGGCACCTTGTGTGCTGGAACGGGTGGCCGCGCCACAGGCTACCGAGCAAACAGGAAAATCCAGTATTAGTAAACTACAGGCAAGTCCAACTGAGCAAAGCTCAGGTATGAAGTAAGGTTTCTCCAGATAGTCCAAGTAATTACACAGGCAGTAACATCTCCTATGTTGAAGGGACATTGCTTAAACACTGCATACCACGTCCACCAGCACCACAGAACAAGTTTTATTACATTACTGTTCTTTGTGACATTGAAAACTCCTTAGCCTTCTGTTGTGGTCAGACATGCTCTTTAATTTTCATCTTGTAATATGCTTTTTTGAAGACAATCAGAAGGTGGGAGCACCTCCCCTATGAAGACTGGGCCGAGAGAGCTGGGGTTGTTCAGCCTAGAGAAGACAAGGCTCCAGGGAGACCTCACTATGGCTTTTCAGGACCCAAGGAGGTCTACAAGAAAACTGGAGGGGACTTTTTACAATGGCATGTAGAGATAGGACAAGGGGGAATAGCTTTCAGCTGAAGGAAGACTAATTTAGATTAATGAAAAGGTTTTCTAGGATGAGGATGGTAAAACACTAGAACAGGTTTTCTGCAGAGGTGGTGAATTTCTGCTTTCATAAGTAAAATGTATTGCTTGTCAGTAAAATAAACAAGACAGTAATAATTGTCCAAATGATGCTCTGTTTTGAGTTCCCAGAAGCCTTGTAAGAAAGAGGTAATACTAAGTTTATTATTAACATTATCTCAAAGCCATTTTCTTTGGATAAATCATTCATTTCTTAAATTACGATTGGAAAACCTGCCCCTGTTTTATTTGCAAATTGAGTCTGATTTTATGTTGTCCCTGAACAATGCCACATTAGCCAGGCTGAATGATCTTGCATAAGCATTCAACATAATAAACAACCAGGCTTCAGCACATGAACTTCAGAGAAACTCAGCTCTACATCTTCTCTTATTGTTCAGTTGTTACTGTTCTTCTATCAGGTAATCTGAAACACCTGGGATGGTTTTTAATGAACTATCTCTTGACACTCTGTTACGAAACCCATGACAGTATTGTTTGAAAATGTTTTCTCACACCTAAGCTGTCAGACCAGAACAAAATACAGTGAAGAGGAATTAGCTTTGTACTTTTCAAATATTCCCAAGGCTTTTCAAAGCTTTAAAAAAAAATCACCAGTGTGAAGAGCAGTCTTTGACAGCCCCACATAAAATATTTCTAGGGCATATATTCCTGTTTGTTGAGTCCTTTTTCACATTCCAGCTAAAAGTTTACCTTTTTTTATGACTGCCAAAAACCTCAATGTGTATGGAATATGATTCATCTACAACCTCATCTTTAAACTCCATTTCCTAAGTGCCTTATCAGTATACCAGGATCCTTCACCACAAAAAGTTTGATTTGTTGTATCAAATAGCTAATAAAAGTCATGGCAACTACGGTATGCAAATAACTGGCTGAGTAAGTAAAAAAAGCTATTTATTTCTGGGCAATTAAAATTTTCTTATAAGGCTTCAGTCTAAATCCTTTCCCTGGACAGACATGGATGTGTGGCAGCCCTGGGAAATTGGCCTGGGAAGGCCATAATTTGGTTTAATAACGTTAGGAATGCTTCATCATTTTGGTCTTGACCACAGTGATCCAGCAATGGGCCAACTTAACCCCAGCCAAGCTGTTATGGCAGCACTGGAGCATGGAAAGAGTCAACTCAAAAAGCTGCCTTGATGCACGTTCCTTCACTACTAAACTGATGTGAACAAGGTTTCAAAAGAGATCACTCCGGTGTCAGCACTACATGAAGGGTCTGGAGAGTATTTAATCCCTTACACAGTATAGCAAGTTGCCCATACTTACTATCTCTTGAAATCCATCTATTATTCTTGAGTAAGATGGCATAGAATTAACAATAATAATTTTCCCCTTTTTTTAACCTTCCAAATTAAGAAATAGAATTAATTTTAAAATATCTTAATTACATATGATTTGAAACACAGGCCTTTGCCTGGGTAAAAGGTTCACTGGCTTCAGCTGCAGTTTTGCTTTAAGATTTTTTCATCAGGGACTTATAAAGAAAAAAGTATGTAATACACAATAACAGTGTTCATGTTACAAAATGTTTTTCACAGGAAACTGAAAATCCTGACATTGTTCCAGCACTTTACTATCAGTAAACTTCCCAGCAGTAGATGAAGCAGCTTGAGAAAGACTAACAGGACTCAAATTTCATTAATAACCACCAGAATCAATTTTTTTTGAGGATGCAAATACTAATTCTTTTTTCTGTTGCTTTATCAGCTTGACAATTGCTTTAGGCAGAAGTCCTCCAGCTTCCAGGGAAAGCAGAAAATACCTGATGAGTGGAGTCTTACAAAAGCTGAAGCTCTGTAACCAAATGCAAGATGGGGCCATGACCACCAACATAACAGTAAGTTCCTCTACGCATTGTACTTGCTCAGCACTACCTCCAGGGAGAAAGGAGCAATTTTTACCCTTCAGAAGTTTTTAATTTCTCACTCTTTTACTTAAACCAACAGAGATGGCAAATATAGGTACTGTTCAAGTATACACTGCTTGCTAATAGGTTTCCTATCTTTGTTTCATCTAATCAGTTTAGTAGATCAGATGAATTTAGATCAAATCAACCAAGATTTTGAACACCACTTATAAAGCCACAGTTTTTGAACAGGCTTGCTTTTGGATAACTTGAAATTACCAATAAATAATGTGTTATCATTCTCTTTGATTGTACTATTCTGTTCCTCAGGCACTCTATAAGGAGACTAAACATACATCTGTTTTACACACAAATAAGCCCGTATAGACCAACATAAGACATAATGACCATGCCAAGAAAGAAATCAGATTAATTTAAAATACAGAAAAGATTATCCCAAAGTCAGTATCAGGTTTGTTCCATGCTGTATTTTTAGCAAGAAGACAAAGTAATTAGTGACCAGGAAAGCAGTATTCTAAGTACACGATGTCAGCTTGACAAAAGGGAAGGAAGAGAAGGAAGCATCCATTCTATTTTCTAGGCTGAAGACAGAGACAAGGAAGAGAAAGGGTCTTTTGCAGTTTGCAGAGCACATCTGTTTATCTTACTTGTGTCAGCAGATTTTCTCTCTCTTCTGCTTGATCGTCTCCATAGAAATTGACCCCACCTATTACGGAGATGGGTCTTCTCTTCCTCCCTCTGTGGTAGCCTACAGTATTGCTTTGGATCCCAGACCCAAGGGATGCCAGTCCCGGCTGATATTCTCCATCTGTGCAGTCTGTGTTCTGAGACTCCACTGCAACTGCATCTTCTGGTATAGACAAACTTCGGATCGCCATTTGGCCATAGTCTGAGAGAGGTCTGGGCCGGGATCTTTTTCCAGAGCCCCATTTCCTTGGTGTGACTTTTTGTGAGTCTGCCTTTTCTTCCTCCTGGGATGTGGACCTCTTCCAGTGGTCATCAGAAACAACCTTTTTAAATGTGAACAAGTCAAATAAGCCACAGAATTTTCTGACAGTTAATAATTTGTGAGTTTGTCATATGTCAGATCAACTTAACATGTCTAAAACAGAAGGAGTTACCATAAATACAATAAATGCAATTGACAATTCAGGAAGAGATAACTTTGCAAAGCAGAGACATCATGATGCTTGTGCTGAGTAAGGTAAGCACCCAACAATCAGTACCTCTTTGGCAAACCCAGACTAATAACACTAAAAACTAACCTGTTACCTCAGCAGTACAGATAGGCCCTATCACAGACACTGAACTCATGGAATAGTTTCTTAGAAAGACAGCTTTGTGCTCACAGAACTTTTTTCTATGCACAAGTTGGATATCACAGGTAACACCAGTAAATATAACTCAGCTGTGGTATTGGACTTTTTACTAAGGCTTGTAGCAACAGGACAAGGGGCAACAATTTTAAACTGAAAGAAGGTGGGTTTAGATTATATATTATGAAGACATTCTTGACCATGAGGTGGCAAGGCACCAGAACAGGGTGCCCAGGGAAGCTGTGCATGCTTCAACCCTGGTATTGTCCAAGGCCAGGCTGGATGGGGCTCTGGGCAACCTGGTCTAGTGAAAGGTGTCCCTGTCCATGGCTGGTGAGCTTGAACTGGGTGATCTTTAAGTTCCCTTCCAAGCCAACCCATCCTATGTATTTCTCTGCTCCACCTCTGTTCAGTGATGAAAACAAACAGCAAGGCTGCATTTTGACCGCTTGCAGATCCATGTAACTGTAATCTGATGCCAGACTGGGCAGTCACACTCCCTCCTACCACTCACTCCCACAATGCCACTTGGTCAGATCTAGAGATTCTGCAGCCAGGAGTGAATTATGTGAGCAAGCTCGTCCAGTTTGGAAGAGAGAAGCTCATTTCCCATATGCTCTGGGAGTTTCAAGCCATGCTGATCATATCAAGAGATATATTATAGCACAAACACAGGAAAAAAACTATGGGCTTAGATAGGAGGCTTGGAAAATGACCATGTTTTTCCTATTTAACAGCACACCTGGCTCACAGAGGTTTAATGTCTGCAAGTATCACAACTGCAGTGGTATTATGAGTTTGGAAATAAAATAACCTCAGCTAAACACTTGGTAGAGGGAGCATTTTTAAGCATTTTAAGTAATACTGTTGTAATTTTTTCTAGCAAAACCCTTGCAAATTTTCAGAAAAAAATCTGCAGACAAAAATTTATGTTTACTTTTCCCTCAAATTTCTGATTTCTTGGTGTTTCTTGGCTTTTCCCAGCTCCTTCATAAAAATAGAAAAGAGAGAAAGCTAGTAAGTATTCCAAAAGAGAAAAGCATAATTTTGTCTCTCTCTAACTATATTTTGTTCATCTGTTCCAGATCAGATGAAGGCATTCCAGATACTGAATAACCAAAGCAAACATGCAGCCCAGAAGCAGCCTTTTGCAATGATGTCTGTGCCAGATGATTTATCTTCTGGCACCTTTTTGTCTACCTGTCATTTTCAGCCAGGCCACTACCAATCTAATGACACTTTTTAAGCCTCGTGATACAGTGGGCAGATGTTGCCTTTTGTTTGAAAGACAGGTTTAAGATTAATTCCATGGTATGAAAGCACTTCAGCCAGTAAGCAGAGTTACTAAACAGTCAATATTTTAACATGATTACTGCAATTATGAAAATGGTACTTTTCAAATATTCCCAAGTATATTGTTCTACATTCAATTATTTCACTTACAGCATGACATTTATTCTAAATAGAGTACTTTAAAAAAAAATTTGTTTCTATACCTTTCATTCAAGCAAGAACTTCAGGTTCTCTACAGATTTGTGTTCAGGATCAGTTTTAACAGTACATTTAATGAAGCAGAGAGTCACTCCCCGGCTGGTGCATTAACACAGCTTCAGCAAAGCTGTCCCTTAAGCACAGCCCTTCCAAGACTGAGCAGCAAAGTCACAGGTTAAATAAGGTTCTTACCTCAGAATCAGACACAGGTAAAGGGTCTCCACATATGCAGTGACTGAGAAAGGAGCTCATGAGAGTCATTTTCTGTTTTTGTTTCGCAAAGTCTCGTCCATAAGTGCTACAAATGTGAGCACACTCTCTCTCTGCATAACCAGTCAGGCAAAGTTCATACCATGATCCTGTACTTTTAGACTGAGGAAGGACACGTCACACGTCATCTCATAATCTGCTGCTTACACCCTTATCTTGAGCAATAACATTTGCAGAGGACTGCTTGCATTCTGCAGGACTCCACCTTAAGTAGTGATCCAAATGACAGCCACATTAATCTCTGCTGTACAACAAACAATGCTGAAGGATGTGTGTTTTTAGTCTTAGATCTATAAACTGCACTGTAAAATACTAAAAGAGAAAGCATAACCCTGTCACTACAAAAAACAGGGGAAACCAGACCAATAATCTCACATTCCTCTAAGTGGCCCGCTCAAGCAGGACCTTATCAAGTGACCACTCACTAGCAGGAATAAAAATATCCAGTACACAACTCACAGGCTCCAGTACTGCAGTAACTTAAGCATAAGTGTGATTCTTGACATCAAATTAAAAATTCTGAGAAAACAATTGTACTCCACCTCTGACTGGCTTTATATGGTGCACCACTGCTGACCTCAAATCACCTTCTCCTAATGAATCTTTTATAAGGGAAAGCAGGTTGATGTTGTGCAATCATTACTGGGAACATCTACAGATGTCTAGAGATACACATGGCACTTCATATAGGATGAAAATCAAAATCTCATGCACCAGCTCATGCATTTTAAGTGCTGGTCAAAAATTTCAAGGCATTTTGAGATTTCTGAGAAGTTAAGGTCTAAGATTAATCCACACTGGATTTTCTGAAATTCATACCTGCTAGTCTAGCAGCACCAATACTAGAAATCAAGATTATTTATCTTGCCTTTTAGGCTGTATCCTCAGTTAGGTTTCTTCTGAGAGTGCAAATGCAAACAGCTCTGCTTGTTTGTGCTGATGCAAATGAATTAATTTTATCTGGATAACTAAATTCCTACAACAGCAAACTAGTTAAATCATTGTATTTCAACTGCTTTCCTTATTCCTGACAGCACTGTATCTACAAATACAACAATTTAAAATGAATATCTACTTCAGACCAGGTTACACTTATATTTGCTGTTGATCCCTTTCAATACGTCACTCTTAGCTGCAGATTCCTGCATTTTAATTTCAATTCTGCAATGGAGCTGTCTGTACATTAACTAGATAATAAAGCTGTCATCATAGTCAGGAGAAATCTAGAATGAAATTTTGTTGCCTGAACATAAACACCCAGGGCTATTTCAAACGTCCAAAGGAATCTAAGACATCTCCACGTGCCATGCATCATGCAAGTATGACACAGGACCTATGGGAGGCCTGGGCCATCCAGAAGCAGCCCCTGGGGACAAAGGGAAGCCTGTCATGACATCTCCAGCAGTGCAGGATCTTTTATGTTCCAGGAATCCAGCTGAGCCCCTAAACAAGAGCATCAGCCAAGCCTACTGAGTGACCAGCCAGGCAGCACTACAGGCAAGAACCAGGCATCAACTGGATTGCAGGAAGGTTTAGATGGAGCTACAACTATGTTCCCTAGTGCTGTGGACAGCCCTGCTTGGTCCCCACCTCCTGCTCCAGAAACATGCAGCTTCACCATGAGGTTTTTTCCAGCTGTCTTTGATAGCTGCCCCTCACTTCATTTGACAGCTATTTTTAGTTGGGCTCAACTCCAGGTGCCACATTCAGGTGTGCTGTTAAGGCTGTGTTCCCCAGGACCCCCTGACCACGCCCGGCAGGCTACAGTGGGAGCTCTCCCAGGCTGCTCCCAGGTAAACAATGACACCACAGAGTCTGTGCCCAGCCAGACCAAACCCCTCCCATGCCTGGGCCCAGACTGATTTCCCAATCCAGCTACAGCAACTTCAAGGACTCAATAATGATCTCACTCAGCTCAACTTGGCCCTGGTACAACCCTGTTCCATTTAATGGCACATGACTGCTATTGGCATTCCCTGTACTCATTAATAGTCAAGGTAAGCAACATCAGCATCAGGTGTTTAATCACTGAAATCTTAGCTTAGTCTTTAGAGCCCGGTTTTCCAGCTATTACTCAGACCACTGTGTACTTTTGATATATTCAGCACTCAGAACTGATTTCAGAGGAAGTGCTGCCCAAGGAGCACAAGACCTGAATTGCACAGTACTGATAAAATGTTGCTTATGCGGATGCAACTTTTATCAGTGATATGGCAAAGAAATTGCCAGTACTTGAAACTGCATGGCAGGACTTCTGCTGGTGCAGTTACACCAACCATGAATAACCCTTCGTCCTCTATACCTGACCCCATTCTCTGCTGCAGAGAAAGCCCAAACTACAAGTCTGACCCAACAGAAAATGCTGCTGGTCAGCCTCCCGCTGCTGGGACACTTTTGAGGGCTGACACCATGATAGCAAAGGAAAAACAAGCTCTGATTTTTTTGGGTTTTTTTTTGCTCAATGTGTTTAGCCAATAACCTCCCTAATTAAAATCCCCACTTCATAAAGGTCTTGATGACGTGTACATTGCTGAGAGTCCTTGACCATTAATCTGCACTTCAACCCCTACTGTTACCTATTCATATTTCCAAAATATAACCTTTAAGTTCCGAATGCAGTGATGTTCCATAACATGTACATACAGACAACTTCAAAGGTATAAGGGGACTCCTGAAAAGTTTTCCCTACCTGATAATCTTCTGGGAAGTCACAAGTAGGTACATCTTGGACAAAGACCCCCAGCATTCCTCTTCCCCAGGAAAAAGAGCATCCTGACTATGCTTCTGCTTTTTTTCTTTTTTCTTTTTTTTTTGTGGGGGGGAGGGTTTGTTTGTTTTCATTAGCTACGCAATAAGTTGCAATACTTCTTCTGTTATCTCTGTATATTTGAGCTGCCTGGCTGAAATGTAATTTTGCTAACTACTACTGCCTT